GGGGGGGGGAGGGGGGGGCGGGGGGTGGACGGCGCGAGTTGGCCGTCGCTCGCTCGGCAGCCGCGATCGAGCGGCGATGTGTTGATGGCAGATTGGGGTTGGGGAAAGGGAAGGAGACTGGGAGTGGGGGGGGGGGAGGGAGGGGGGGAGGAGGGCGCTGAGGGCCGCACATGGAGAGAAGGATCGATGGGGTGGTAGTCATGGTGGTGGTCATGGTGGTGGTAGTCATGGGGGGCAGTCGTGGCGGCATTGGGCGGCCTATCTTTGCTCATTCAAGCTGCGCACCTCGTCGAGGAGTAGCTGCTGCTTGGGGGAGAGCGGCGGGACGACCCAGTAGCCGCGGAGGGTGCCGTCCTCGTCGGGGATGGGCTCGTAGAGGGCGTGGTGCTTGATGACCGCGGCGAGCGAGTCTGCGTTGAGGCGGTAGCTTGTGGCAAGGGCATCGATGTCGGCGGCGGCGAGGTCCTCGGAGAGGAGGGCACGGAGCTGGTTCTCGTTGAGGAAGCCCGGGGTGACGGCGTTGCCACGGACTCCGCCCCACAGCTCGCCAGGCGATGGCGAGGCCTGGCGCGACTGCGGCAGCGGGCGTCCGCCCTTTGCAGCCTCCGCCTGGCGCTTGGCCACGGCCTCGGGCGTATGGCGATGGGCGTTGACGCTTGTGTCCACGTAAGCCTCCACCTCCAACGCTGCCATGTTGGCCAGCAGCGCGGCATCATCGGTCGCCTCTCTGCTCGGGCGATCCAGATCGTCCTCGGCGTCCTTGCCTACGCTCGCTCCTCTCCCGGGATCGGCTCTAGCTCTGTCCGACGCACCAGCAGCGTTCTGGGCGGCAATGGCGGCGGCGTCTTTGGCGGCACGGGCGGCTGACTCGGCGGCGCGGGCGGCGGCGCGGGCCTCTCCAGCCCGGCTCTCGGCCACAGCAGCGACCTCTCCGGCAGCCTTTGTCAGGCGGGATGCACTTGCGCCCATGTGGGATGTGTGGGAGAGGGGGGGGGGGAGGGGGGGGGGGGGACGGGGTGGTGGCTGACGAGCACGGCTGGGGGTCTGGGGACTGGCCAAAGGGGCCATACCCCATCATACCCCATCATACCCCATCATACCCCATCATACCCCATCATACCCCATCATACCCCATCATACCCCATCATACCCCATCATACCCCATCATACCCCACCATACCCCACCATACCCCCCCACCCACCCCCCTCCCCTTGCCCACACCCACCCACACCCAACTCGATCGATGGACTCATGGCTAGCAAGGGAGAGCCCGTACCACTCCCCATGGCGTCAAACACCTCGTACAGCCCGTCTCAAGGAGGAGAAGGGCCACCAGAGCCGCCGCTAGTCGATGTCTACACCCAGCAGGTTGACGCTGTGTGGGAGCTGCTTCGCAATCGTGGCGTGGTCTTTGGCGATGCCGCCGAGGCCATTCCAAGCCAAGACGGCTTTGACTCGTTTGCCGCCGGCTACGAGTGGATGATCGCCGCCATGGCTCGCCGCATTCCCGCTGCATCGCTCAACTATCCGCTCTGGGCTTGGCTCTCTCCGCCTACTTATCCCGCCACAGAGCCCAGCGTCGTCATCCACGCCCGCATCCCGCCCGATCGCCTGCTCGTCTCCGACTTTGCTGCCTGGGATCAGAGCGTTCTCTACGGCTTTCCGGTCTCGCCCGACGGCCGCCCGCTTGATGCCGCCGATCCAGACGTTCCGCACTGCGACATCGAGCGCTCGTGGGAGGCCATATTCATCGACACGCTGCCGCCGCCGCATGGCGTCAACGCCCAGGTCGTCCTCGACGGGCTGTACCTGCACGAGGTTGTCGGCGTGCAGCGGCTGCCGGTCGTCGACGCCACCTCACCCGACGCTCATCAAGCCACCGTCCCGCCCATCGGGGACGCCGCCGCCGAGATGGAAGACGTTGAGGCTTCCCGCGCTGCCGCCGGGGCCGCTGCGTCGACGCTGTGCGAGCTCCGCCGAAGCTATGAGCAGCGAGTCTGCAACGCGCTGACAGCCCACTCGATGGTCCGCGACGCGTGTGTCGCCATCCGCGACGCCGCTTATCTTTACATGAAGGAGCGAGCCGAGATCGGCCCACCGCTCGACGAGCTCCTCGCCCTCACCGCCACCCCGCTCGACCTGCCGTTCTCCGGCCGGGTCGGCGCAGATCCAGCCCGCCTCCGCGCCGTGTGGGAGGGCGATACCCGCGTGGTGCCCGACGCCGACACCGTCCGCACACTCCTCACCCACTTTCACTGCTTTATCACCCGCATCCTCGCGCCCGACCTCGTCTCCCTCGAGCATGCCGCGCTCAACGACATTGCGACGCGCTGCGGCTGGGACCTCGAGCTGCTGGCCAAGCTCCACAGCGCAGACTATCCGTCCGGCGAGGAGCTGGCCCGGATGACCCGCCACAGGCTCACCCGCGCCCAGAACGCCATGCGCGCTGCCACAGGCGTCAGCGAGCGCGATGCATGGTCACATGCCTCCCGCGCAGCCTTTGCCGCAGTCGGCGGCTCGCTCACCGCCTGGGAGGAGCAACTGGAGTCGCCGCACGGCCCACTCGCTGTGCCCTGGATCGACGCTGCGCGGCTGTGCACCCTCATCGCCGCAAACAAGACCGTCCGCGTTCTGGCCAACCTCGGCATCCCGCTCGTCACCGGCGTCTCCGGCTGCACGCTTCGGTACATGACCTTTGGCGGCCTCATAGCACCGCGGGTCGCGCCCGCTCTTATCCGCGCCGCCTCGCTCGCCTTCCTCGTCCCAACCGGCGCACATACCTTCTACGAGGTTGCAGCTGCAGCAACGGCCGCCGCCGGCGGTCGCGCCGCCCTCCGCTACCCGCGCTCGTACACCGAGCTCTTCGACGACGGCATGGAAAGCACCGCAGAGGCACGCATGACCATGGCCGAGGTTATGGATGCAGTCCGTCGTGGCGAGCTCTCAGACACGCCTGCCGCCCGCGGCGAGCGTGCCACCGCTCAGCTCGCCGAGCTGCTGGCGCACCAGCCCGGTGCCGCCGACGAGCCGAGCGTGCCCTCGGTCGCCCCGCATCTGCTGGGCCGATACGACGGCGAGCTCTGGGCCGACGACTGGCTCCCACTCGACCGCGGGCCAGCAACCGCGAGCAGCTAAAAGTGAAAGTGGGCCCGGAACGCGTCGAGGTTGCCCTCGTAGCTGAGCTTGACCAGGTCCTCGCGGTCCATGAGCGCGAGCGACATCCGCAGCAGGTGCCAGATGTGCTCGGCCTGCGACCGCGGCTCCATGGTCAGCGCGCCGAGGTAGTGGACGGCGGCCGCGGCAAAGTCCTTGAGGTTCGAGCAGGAAATGCCCATGTTGACCTTGGCCCGCACATACGACGGGTTGATCAGCAGCGAGTTATGGTAGGCGTCGAGCGCCTCTTCGCACCGTGACGAGTTGGCGAGCGTCGCCCCGAGCTTGTTCCACAGCATGTAGTCGTCCGGTCGAGACTGCAGCGCAGCGGCAAAGCACTCGGCAGCTTTGTCAAACTCGTGCGAGAGATTAAGCAGGATGCCGAGGCCGACCTGGACATCGGCGTCGAGCCCGGCTCCGGACGACGCGTTAGACCGCACAGCCTCCAGGAACATGTTGGTGACCCTCGCGTGCGACTCGAGCGACGACTTCCAGTACGCCGTAAAGTGCTGGTAGAACGCAACCTCGGCAGGGTCCGAGAGATCCGGCATGCCCGCCGTGTCGGCCTCGGATGCCCCAAACGGGTCGGCCGACGACACAGAGTCAAAGTCGATGTGGCGGTACTCGGGGTGTTGCCGGATCCACTGCTCGAGCACCTCGAGCGCCTTGGCCCGGTTCGACTCGTTGGTGTACGCCACCGCAAGGTGCATCAGCGCCTCGTTGTTGTGCGCGTCGAGCGCCACCGCCCGCTCCAGCGCCAGCACCGCGTAGTAGTCCTTGTCGTTCTCTGCGTGCGAGAGGCCAAGCATCTGCCACGCCAGCGACGACTCGTCCTCCACCACCGCAGCCTCAAACGCAAGAATGGCTTCAGCGATGTTGCCGGTCTTCAGCAGCTCCATCCCGCGCTCCAGCGCGCTCATCTCGGCCGGCGTCTCGGCCTGCGACGCGAGGTACGGGTTGGTCTTTTGAAAGTGGTAGCCCTTGGCCGCCGCCGCCGCTGCGCCCCACGCTGATGCCTCTGCCTCCGCTGCCTCGGCCGGCGTTGTCGCATCTGCAGCCGCAGCCGCAGCCTCCGCCTCGACCGCGCCTGCTTCCGAAGCTGCGTTCACAGAGCTCTCCGGAGCATGTCTGGCAAGCAGGTTGTCGACAAGTGCCGCTGCCGACTTCGGCGTCGCCGCCGCGCCCAGGGCAGGCGTCGCCGCCGTGCTCGCCGCCGCCGCGCCAGTCGCCTCGCCGGTCACCATCTCGCCGCCTTCAAAGCGGACAGAGCCGTCAGCGACCTTGTTGAGGAATTTGATGAGGTCCGAGTTCTTCACTCGCGGGTCTTCAATTCCGTCCACAACCGCCCGCGACAGCTGCTGCAGCTCGTCGGTCGAGATGTCGTGCTCGGCAAGCCGCGTCTGGTTGCGCTCATTGATAAACTGCCGGGTCCACGAGTCCTGCGGCGCCTCACTTGCCATTTCGCCGCTTTCCTCGGCGAGGGCCTCATCTACCGGCTGCGGTGCCGGGCGCTGTGGCGCTGCCGACGGCTGAAAGAGCGACGCAATGTGCGACTGCGGCGCCGCAGCAGCAGCGCCACCACCCATCAGCATCTGTTGTGGGCCCACACCCGCCATCCCTGCCATCGGGCCCATGCCCATCATCCCCGCCATCGGGCCCATGCCCATCATCCCAGCCATCGGGCCCATGCCCATCATCCCGGCCATCGGGCCCATGCCCAGCCCGGGCGCGGGCTTGGCTCGTCCCCCGCCCTGCGCTACCGCGCCCTGCGCACTCTCCTGAGCCTGCGCCTGAGCCGCTGCCGCTGCCTGCATCCGCCACAGCGCCTCCATCTGCTGCTGCGAGTAGAACTCGCCGGCATCAAAGCCAGCCCCCGCACCCACTGCGCCCATCGCTCCAGCCGGCAGCGGCGGGCCGGCGAGGCCACCACCACCACCACCACCACTACCGCCTCCACCGCCACCACCAGCCGCCCGTGCATGCGCCTCAGCCAGTGCCACAGCCTGCGCCTGCGCCTGCGCCTGTGCCTGTGCCGCAGCCTGCGCATGTCCTCCCTCCATACCCTGTCCCCCCGACCCCACGTCCCCCGCCCCCACATCCCCACATCCCATGAGTGTGTGCGACCTGTCCACCCTCCCCACCTCCCCATCCTGCCCCCCCCCTCCCATACCCTGTCCCCCCGACCCCACGTCCCCGCCCCCCACCATCCCCACCATCCCACTGAGTGTGTGCGACCTGTCCACCCTCCCCACCCTCCCCCACTCCTGCCCCCCCTCCCCCCCCCCCCCCCACCACACACACCGTCCACACGGAAGATGCACACATACAATGTCCTTGCCTGCCCCCCGGTCACGGCGTCCATCATCTGTGACAGGGCATTGCCCCCGGGACCACAGTCGACCTGTCCGTCGAGGAAGCCGTCCATGTGTGTGTGGTGCTTGTCGCGACACGTGTGGGCTAGCAGTGGACGAGAACGGTGCGGTGGCGGCGGCGGGTGCTGCTGCTGCCTGCCAATCGGCAATCAGCGTGACAAGGTGGGCATGGTGGTGAACATGGTCGAGCTTGGGAGATTGGAATGCGTTAATGATCATGCAACACACGCTTGGGTATCAATAGAGGGTGCGCTGTCCGATGATTGCCGTGTCCAACCCCATCGCACATTGTGTATGGTGCGGTGGAAGCAGCCTCTCGACGGAATCTCGTTGCGTATAACGGGGCCGGGTGACATGCCTTCAGCTCGCTAGACAGATTGTGCTTGCCGGATAACGGTGTGCTGAACACGCCATGATCGGTCACAATTCGACAAACATGAGGCCAGACTCGGCGTCGACGTCTGCGAGGCAGTCGCTGTCGTCGCTGGCGCAGTCATCGTCGTCGAGCTCGGTGAATGCGGCGGCATCGGCGCGGGCTTGGCGAGCGGCGCGCGAAAGACGGCGTGGCTGATGGAGCGACGGTCCATGGTGGGGGTGGCGGCGGTGCCACTCGCGCTCGGCGGTGGTGACAAAGCGGACGAGGTCGTCTGTGTTGATCCACTGCGAGTTTGGACCAAACATGGCGAGCACAAAGTCGTACTCGTCGGCATCGAGACGAATGCCAATGTTTCGCAGAGCCTGCCGGACTCGCGCCAGCGGAAGGAAGCCGTGGCGGGTCCGCGACACGTCGTACTCACGAAGTGTGGCCGCCAGCGCGGCGCGGCGGTCCATAAGCTTGCACGAGAGCGAGTGCACAACCGGATCGTACCAGGTGTACGGCGCTGGGAGGCCGCGCGAGGCCTCTTCGAGGTCCATAACATCTCTGTTGAGTCCGCGATGGTGACCGGGGACCGGGTCAGGCGCTGGGCCAGGGCTAGCAGCCGGCTGGCCTGCCTCGGCACACGCGGGCACAGCGCCCTGCTTGGGTCCGGAGGCGGGAGCGGCGAGGTGAGCACGCCCGCCAAGACTACCAGCTGATGCCGCCTGCGGCAGCCATGTATGTGTCTCTGGCGGCGGCGGTGGGCGTGGCGGCCCAGCAGAGCCTGCAGCGAGATGTGCCCAGGCATGCGCATACTGCTCGCCCGAGGCCGAGACAAAGACAGCGCCGTCGTCGAGGAGCACGCCGTGCTCCCAGTGGCCCGAGTACGACGCGCCATCGGCAAAGCGAAAAACGCCTTTGCCGTGCGGGCGGCCGGCGTCCCACTCGCCGTCGTACGAGCGGCCGTCGTCAAAGATGAGCGTGCCGGTGCCATGGGGCGCGCCAGCCGCCCACTCCCCCGAGTACACCCGACCCGTGGCGGTGAGGGTGCCCGAGCCAGCACGGACACCATTATCAAAGCTGCCCACGTACGCGGTGCCATCGGCAGCGACAATTGTGCCCGAGCCGTGCATGACGCCTGCGTACCAGTCGCCGGTGTAGCGCGAGCCATCGGCGAGCAGGGCCTCGCCGCGCCCGTGCATGCTGCCATCGAGCCAGCATCCCGCGTACCAGCCAGCGCCGTTTGGCAAGACCAGCGTGCCGCGGCCACAGCGGACGTGATGGACCCAGTCTCCGTCATACGACTCACCATCGGCGAGGACCAGCTTGCCCGATCCGTGGTACATGTTGTGGGCAAAGGAGCCAACATAGGACGAGCCATCAGCCAGGACCAGATCGCCGTGGCCATGCATGGCATCCGCAACCCATCCGCCGGTGTAGGTAAAGGCTGAGGAGACAAAGGTTCCCGTGCCATGGAATGCCCCGTCCACCATCTCTCCCGTGTACGTCCCTCCGCCGCAGCTCACAGAGACCGCTCCAGACAGCCCAGCTCCTTCGCTCCCGCTCGCCCTCAAGCCAGCCTGCCCATGCGCCAGCCCAAACTTCTGCTCCGCCTCGACCCCGTCTCGCGACATGCCGTCCACAAGTCGGTGCTGGGTGAGGTGCCGTCGTCCGCTTGACCGTCGCTCTGTCCGTCGTCGTCGCCAGCTGCCACCGGCCGCCGTTCAACGGACGGCCGCCCAGCGACGGCCGCGGTTGGCGGCGGCAGACGCCGCGCGAGTGCCATCGAGTGCGATTTGATGAAAGAAGGCGCCACAAGGGAGAAGAGGACATTCAAGAGGCTGCCAAGGGAAGAGAAAGATGGCCATGGTATGGTCGGAAGCCGTCAATCCGTCTCCTGCTCACGCTAGTGCTCCAATCATGGAGCTCCAGGCTGGCTGGCTCCAGGTCTACAACTCTTGCTCCGATATCGGCGTCTTTCAATTCTGGTGAGACTGATCGAGCTGTATGTGTAGTGCTGTCGCTGTGCGTCCAGCTACGCCGATCTGCTCTGCGCCCGTGATTCTGACCGCCAAGTGCAGCAGCAAAGACCGAGGTTCGAGGCGGATAAAAGCAGCGCCGAGGCGGATAGATTGGTCCTCATGCTCAGCCTGGAACGGTTGGCCAATGATGCAAAGCAGCGAGGCTGTGGAAACTTGGACGCGGAGTAAAGATGACGAGGTGGCTGAGAACGACAATCACGTGATTGCCCCAGCCAGACGCCTGACTACACTGCCATTTCCGCTCCCGCGCTATGCCATCAAGTTCTCCCCACCACATCCACCCATTCCACTACACTGCTCAACTTCTAACCCTGCCCCTCATGTCCTTACTAGCCATTTCCCCGTCCAAGAGAGCGCGCAGAGAGCAGCGATGGCGGTCTCCGCCTGGACTCCTGCAAACGGACGAAAAAAGAATCGGCCGTTGCCGGGATCCCATCCCACAACAGAGTTGACGACGTGGCAAGGGACGGCAAGAGAGCGGGCTTGAGGAGGGGAGGAAGAGAAGGAGACACTGCTCTAGACGACATTGATAGTCGGTAGAGGTTGCATTGACTGCCAAGCGCCCGTCTCTCTCCCGCCCACTCCGCCTCGCATCCATGTCGCTCTCGCAACTGGCCAAGATGATGCTCACCCAACCGTCGGCCTCGCTCCCTGTGGTCCTCCCCATTTTGCTCACCGTGGTGTATCTGGGGGTGAATGCCGGGCTCAAGGGCTGGACTGCGCCGCGCGGCCCACTCAAGGTCTTCTCCATCGTGCACAATGCTGGCATGTCTATTTTCTCGGCCATCATGCTGGTCAAGACTGTGACCTTCCTCGCTGGCTACCCGGACAAGTCGTTCATCGTCTACGGCTCGTGCCATGACCTGATGGACGTCCACGGCTCACCGCTGGAAATGCTGGCGACGTACTTTTTCTGGTCCAAGGCATACGAGTTTATCGACACGTGGATCGTCATTCTCAAGGGCAAGCAGCCGATCTTTCTGCAGACCTTCCACCACGTCGGTGCGGTGTGGATCACGTGGGTGCTCACGGCAGCCCGGGCGGACTCAATCTATATCTTTATTGTCCTCAACTCGACCATCCACACCATCATGTACTTTTACTACTTTCTCACTTGCTTTGGCTACCGGCCCAAGTGGTCGGTCCTCCTCACCTCGATGCAGATTGCCCAGTTCATCATCGGCCTCGCCTCATCCATCCCGTACTTTATCGGCCTCCCCTGCAACGTCGGCCTGCACTACTGGGCCATTGTCGCCAACAACGTCTACGTCGTTGCTCTCGTCATCCTCTTTGTCTCCTTCTTCCGCAACAAGTATCTCGCTGGCAAGGCTGCCAAGGCCAAGGCCTCGTAAACGCAGGCGATGAGCACAGCACGCCATGAGCAGCACGCGATGCACACACGCACATGCACATCATATGCACATGTAGAGGTATAGCATACCCCCCCCCCGCACGCGCGTGCGCCCAATCTAAGGCCGGCGGGAGGAAGGCCGGCGGCAGGCGGGCGGCAAGCGGGCGGGCGCGGCAGGCGGCAGTGAGCGCTGAGCGCTAACTAACGCGAGCGGTGAGCGCTTGCGCGAGCCGCAGACTCGACTTGCGGGTGGGGAGAGACGGACATGTCGCAGCTGCTGACGACCGTCTCTGCGCTGTTCACGCCCACGCGACATCACTCGTACTCTGAACTCGGACTCTGGTTCCTCTTCCTCTTCCTCGCCCTCCTCGAACTGCTCTTTGGCAGCCTGCTGGTCCTCGACGGCGTCGAGTGCTCGCCATGGAGCGCGGCGGCGGACAAGGAGCTGTGGAAGTATCCACCGGCAAACGTCTCGCTGGAGACGGTGGGCGGTCTGGGGAAGGTCAACTGGGCGCTCTCGGACTTTGTCCTCAACAAGGACTTTGTCAACATCAACTGCGAGAACGAGATCAAGCAGTACACCCTGAGCATGACCATCTTCACCGCCCTCAACGTCCTCCTCACTGGCATCTTCATGTCCATCTCGTCCTCGTACATCAACCAGATTCGTGTCCGGGCAGACGACATTGTGGAGATGGACGACGATGTCGACGACGACGTCATCCTCAAGGCCAACGCCGGCCTCATTGTCCAGATCAACCGCTTCCTCTACTTTAAGGTTGCCATCATCTTCTGCTACATGGCCGCCATCTCGCTCCGCTACTCGTTCATCGCCATCATCGGCAACCAGCGCGGCGTCGACGGTGGCACCTTTTACTTTTTCCAGTGCGGTGGCGACCGCAACTTTGTGTGGCAGATGATGGAGCGCCACGCCATGCTCTTCCGCTGCGTCTTTAACCACATTCGCCTCTCCACTCTCCTCACCTCGCTCATCACCGTTGTCCGCGCCATTCTTGGATGCGCTGTCCTTTACTCCATGTATCGCCTCTACAGGTACCGCCAGAATGGCGAGTGGCTGACCCGCTCTGTCTCTGACTCTTCGCCCGCCGCAGGCCTCGCCGGCGTCCTCGATGTCCTCGGCCTCCACGAGCGCAAGCTCCATCGCCAGGCCCGCGGCGCTCCCACACAGATGCGCCGCGATGACGCTCTCTCAGAGCGATCCATCTCGCGTCGCGAGCTTCGGCAATCTCTTTCCATCGACGGCGAGTCGAGCTTTGGCTCCCGCCCGCGGCTCTCGCTCAACGACCGCCTGCGCGACGGCTCGCTCTCGTCCGAGGGCATGGCTCAGGTCGCCGATCTGGCCTCCGACCTGGCCAAAGTCCCCGAGCTCCTCGCCATTATCTCGAGCCAAGGCCCTGCGCCGACACCATCAGCCTCGGCCGCCACGCCTGGCGAGACAGCCCTCACCCCCGAGTCTGCCCAGCTGATGGGCATCGTGGTGAAGCTCCTCCAGCATCCCGAGGTCAACTCGATTCTCCTCCGCATCATGCGCCGGGGCCTTTGTGTCCTCGCCTCCGACTCGGCCCTCGCCTCGGCTTCGCCGCAGCTGCAGCAGACGCTTATCTACCTTGCCACCGATGCCGCCGCCGGTGCCGCCCTCAGTGACGCCCTTGGCAACGTGCTCTCTGTCCAATCGCGCGAAGCCGCCGCCGCCTCGTCGGCATCCACCCGCGACCGCAAGGCCCGTCTCCGCTCGCGCGCCCGCCAGCAGTCGACCCAGCTCTCGCTGCTCAATGTCTCTGCTCTTGGCTTTGGCCCACATGCCCTTCCTGGTCCGCAGTCGCGCAAGCTTGCTCTTGTTCGCGGCCGCGATCCCGAGGCCGTCTCATGGACATCGTCGGCATCGTCGTCATCGACCCACGCATCGACCACGGGCTCGTCGGCAGCCTCGGGCGCAGTCTCGACCGGTGCCCGTCTCCCGACTGGCGCTCACCTCCACGCCCGCCCCTCCTCGTCACCGCACGACATTCAACTTGCCATTCCCAAGCAAGTCCATCACCCGACTCACATACGACACTCGTCGCACCACTCATCGCACCACTCATCGCACCGTTCGTCACACCACTCGATCGCCACCGCCTCTTCGTCCGACATCGCCTCTCTCGCCGAGGGCTACTTTGTTGATGACGTTGACCCCTAGCCATGCCATGCCCGTACCTTTGCACCCACACACATACACACCACAGACGTGAATCCGATCCGATGATCATTCGTTCCGTCGCACCTGTCCACGCCCGCCAGCAGCCCGCCAGCCCCAGCCCCAGCCTCAGCTCCAGCCCCAACCCGTCTGACACCTGATTCGCCTCCCAACCCCCCACATGCTTCCTCGCCGCCACGGAAGCTACGTGCTGCGGGCGTACGACGAGGCATGTGATGACGGGCCATGCCGGCGGCTGGAGGAGCGGGCGACGCAGGGCTCGGCCGCCGTCCGCGTCGCCTTTGTCCACGCTTCGCACTTTGCGGCCAAGGCCCGCCAGTTTGAGGACGCCGTCATCGTGGTCGCTGCGCCAGATAACGGCGGGGATGCCGTCGGCGTTGTCTCGGCCGCCATCAAGCGCGTATATCTCTCCGGCACACCTGTCCTGGCTGGTTACGTCTTTGATCTCCGCGTCGAGCCCGCCCACACCCGCCGCGGCCTGGCCACCGCACTCATGGACGCCATCGAAGATGGTCTGGCCGCCCGCGGCATCGACGTCGTCTATCTTACCGTCAATTCCAACAACCACGCCGCTCGTGCCCTCTACGCCCGTCGCAGCTACTCGATCCTCTCGCAGCGCGCGCTGAGTGTGCTCCTGCTTCTGCCGGAGTCGATCCGCGCCCCGCGCCCGCCGCCGAGCCTCGTCGTCGTTGACGGCCGCGGCTTCCGCAAGGTGTACGACGCCTACTACGGCGCCGAGGTTGGTGCCGACTTTGCGCTAGTCGATCCCGAGCCCCTCCTGAACTCGCCGTACTTTCTCGAGGGGTACACCCTCACTGATGAGACCAGCGACTCGTTTGCGGCGCTTGCGCTGTTCAACGGCAACGGGCTCACCTCGCTCTCCATCGAGCGTCTGCTGCTGCCGATGTGGCTGTGGCGCCACAACGCGATGCAAATCCTCCTCGCCCTTCTCCACCTTTGGATTGTGGCTAGTGCTATCAACTGGTTCTGGGCGAGCGGGAGTCTGTGGCGGCTGGTCGGCGCCGCCGCTATCCTAGCCGACGCTGCCGCTCTCTATGCCGGCTACTTTGTCCTCTCGCGTCTACAGGCCGGTCACTGGCGGGCGCGGTTCATTGCGCCTGTGGCATCTGGCCCGCGTGGGCAAGAGCTGTTAGCCGCGCTGGTCAAGGTCGGCCGTGTCCGTGCCCACGCCCGCGGATTCGCCCTTGTCATCTGCAACATGACGCCCGACGACGTGCTGCACGCTGTGGTCGGCGGCGGAAACACCCGCTCGCCATACCTCATGCACAAGCCGCTGCGCGGCGGCCAGCCGCTCGCAAGCATGGCCCGCAACGCGTTCTTTGACCCTCGCGAGATTTAGTGTGCGCCAAGACGAGCTACGGCTCGGGAAGAACCGGGAGCCTGCGGAGAAGCAGCGATGTGGCCGGCTCGGGGGTCGAGTACGCGGCGACGACCGGGGCGCGGGGACCGGCGGGGCTTTCGGAGCCGCCGTCGGTGACGCCCGGCACAGGCGGGTGCCGAGGCACAACGTTGCTGTTGCGGAGAACGTAGTTGTACGACGGCCGCGAGACGAGCGACGTCCGCTCGGGCACCGCGGCCCAGAGGCCAAACAGCGACTCAACCTGCTTGGGCTGCATCCGGGCGTACTCGAGAAACTCAAACTTGAGCCGCTCCCAGCGGCGCCGCTGCCGCGCGTTGAGCAGATGCGCCTTGGCCGCCCGTGTCCGGCGGCGCTTGCGCGGCGAGCCCAGGCCAAGAAGCTCATTGTCGTCGTCAGAGAGCGCCTTGTTAAAGAACTCGTCCGAGTCGTCCGAGTCAAACTCGTCATCCGACGAGAGCGAGTCGACGAGGTCACCGGCCTTGGCCGCCTCCAGCTCGAGCAGATACTGCCGTGCGCCCTCCTTCATCGAGTCGGCGTCGCGGCCGTACTCGACAAACGACGACGGGAGGACAACCGACTCGGCCCGCCAGTTCGTCGCCGGCGGCAGGCCCATGTATCGCGCCCGCTCCTTGTACTCATACTCGGCGTGCCGGCGGTAAAAGGTAGCGTCGTCGACGGCCTCATCGTCCGATGACTCGCCACCATTGGCTTCGGCCTCGCCCTCGGCTTCGGCATCCGAGTCCTCGCCGACTACCTCGACGACCGGGAGCACAATCTCCTTGACGGCGAGCTTGGAGACCGCCGGCGGAGCGGTGGGCGTGGTGAACGGGACAACGATGTTGTCGATGTTAAAGTCCTCGGTCCGGCGCTTGTTGGTCCGCGACTTGGTACCCTTGCCCTTCCCCTTGCCCGATGACGAGCCCTTGCCGGTGGTCTTACCCGACGCGGCGCGGGCGACGCCAAGCCGCTGGGTGATGGCAGCAGGAACCCGCGGCGATTGGAGCAGCTTGGGCATCGAGTAGTACATGGCGGCGGGCGAGCCGGCAGCCGGCCGCCGCAGTCGGTTGCCGCTCGTCGGCAGCTGGATGCTGATGTTGCGCTTGCGCTTGAGCGTTTTCGGCATCGGCGGACGCGGCGCAGAAGGCGCGGTAGCACCTCCGCCGCTCGCCACCCCGGCTTGCGGCTGCACACTCCCTCCACTTGCTCCAGCGCCCGCAGGCATCGCCGCCGCTGCTCGCTCGCCTACCACAGCCAGCTGCAGAGCGGCAGCGTCCGGGAAGAGCGGGTGCGGATCGGAGCGGGCCAGCTTGCGGTGTGAGGCGCGGCGCTCGCGCTCGGCCTGCTTCTTGGCCGTGACAAGGGCGAGGAGCGGGTCCTCAGCGGCAAGCTTCTTGCGGACTCGCGCCATGTTGCGCTTGCACATGTTCCGCCGCGGGACTGGGAGCTGGATGGGGCAGCAGCGTGCTGCGACTTCTCCGAGCGCCTCGGCTTCAGCGTCGCGGACCTGGCTCACCTTGGGCTTCTCCTGCTGGTACTCGTCCAGGCCGCGCGAGTACGACTCGCGGGTCCGCTTCAGCTCTTCGATCTGCAGCTGGAGCCAGGCCCAACGCCAGGCAAGCCCGTCACGGACCGCCTTCCACGAGTGCAACGTCCGCCGCCGCTTGCGCGCCCTGCGGAACGTCTCCAGCCGCCCCGCCTCAAAGCCCGCCAGCTCAACCGCATCGTACTGCGCCGCGGCCCCGGGCATGCACGACCGGACCGGCCGGTCGCGAGCCGCCGCGTTCTTGGCCGCCAGCACCATCTCCAGTGGCTTGTTGGAGACGTCGACCGCTCTGCGGACGTGCGGCGCACCACGAGGCGCCGCTCCACTCTCGACCGCCTTGGCCATCTCCGCTGCCGCCGCCGCGTGCGTCGCTGCCAGTTGCACCGGCGCTTTCGGCACCGTCGACAGCCGGACCTTGCCCGTCGCGCCGGCGTCATCGATGCCGTTGCCGCCGTCCGACAAGAACATCTCCTCCGGCGGGAGCGCCGCAGCTGCAGCCGCCGCAGCCGCCGCAGCCGCCGCCCGCGCCGCCGCAGCCTGCATCTCGCGGGCGGTCGACGAGGTACGATGCAGCGAGGGCAGCGTGCGCGGCGAGGGCGGCGGCTGCGACGAGGCGGCGGGCGTGGGTGTGGGGGCAGGCTTGGGCGGGCCGAGTGGGCATGGGCATGAGCTTGACCATGACCATGAGCTTGACCATGACCATGACCATGGGCATGGGCATGGGCATGGGCGTGCGGCAGCGCAGCAGCAGCCTCCTCCAGGGCGGATGCCGAGCCACGTGGAGCAAGTACGGCCGTGGCGTAGAGCGGGAGGCCGAGGCCGACCGAGTAGCCGCCACCCGCCGCCGCCAAAGAGCCGCCAGAGCCACCCGCGCCGCCCGTGGCGGACCCGTACTCGCCCGACGTGCTCGAGCCTGAAAGTGTGTCCTCTGCGTCCCAGTCCATGCTGCGCAGGGAGAGTGGGGAGGGGGAGAGTGAGGTGGTGGTGGAGAGGGAGGGAGGGAGGGAGGGGGGGAGGGGGGGGGGGGAGGCCGGCCAGTCGCCGCCATTTTGCTGCCAGTCGCCGCCATTTGCTGCCAGTCGCCGCCATTTGCTGCCAGTCGCCGCCATTTGCTGCCAGTCGCCGCCATTTGCTGCCAGTCGCCGCCATTTGCTGCCAGTCGCCGCCATTTGCTGCCAGTCGCCGCCATTTGCTGCCAGTCGCCGCCGGTTGTCGCTGCGCTGCTGCAGATGGGCTGTTTCAGCCTTGGCGCTGGCTTTGGTTGCCGACGCATTTGATATTGTGATCGATGTGTGGGTTTTGAGGAGGATGGTCCGTTTTCGTTGCGTTTTACAATGCAGAGAGTGTCGAGTGTCGATTGTGCGTCTGTCCGTGGTGCGGGGGTAGAGGGAATGAGCATGGCTGGATGGCCAGCAGTCGTTGGGAAATAAGTGATCACAGGTTTCCTCTGTGTTTCCGCTCAGGGAGCGCGGTCTGTAGATGAAGCGGATGTAGTTGGGGTGACGGCGGTGTCTGTAGCACGTCACCACCTGTAGCATCCATCAGATCAATCGGGGTGCGTAACGGCGAATTGAGGAGGGATGGTGGGATGGCAGCGACTCCCATCCATCATCATCGCACCACGACCAAGACAGCCATACCGACGTCCCCTCCTCCCACTCTGCGCACCATTCATAGCACCACAACCACCATCTCAACCGCTTTACAATACCCATGAATGCTGCTAGACAAGCTCATTCATACCAAGTGCGGATCCCATCGGATCGGATCCCATCGGCTCGGATCCCATCAATATCGGCTGCGTGGCGGCCTTGGCGCACATGCCAGTGTGACGACGACGAATGCCCCCCTCCCCTCCCCTCCCCTTCCCCCCCCCCCCCCCCCCCCCCCACCACCCCCACCACTAGAGACCACTTGTCGCACCCACGCCTGTACTTCACCCAACACACATGGACTGCTGCGGATTGGGCGGACGGGTGGCGACCGGCGGGGCGCAGGCGTCGATGGCTCGCGACTTTGAGCTCTCTGAGCGTGGAAGGCGGCGTCTGCTGGGCGACGAGGAGGTGACGGGGACGGCGGGGGGAGGCACGGGGACGACGATGGACGGAGCGACAGCGACGGCGGGCGGGAGTGGGTACCGGGCGCAGGTGCGGGAGGAGTTTGCGGCGACGATGCAGGCGGCGAGCGACTTGCTCACGGCCTCGTTTGACCTGGACAATGCCGAGCACGTGGCGCTGGCCGGCTCGCTCTTTGCGGCCGTGTTCCCGGACGATCGGCTGCCGTCGGACCTGGTGACCCGCAAGTGGAAGGAGATGGGCTTCCAGCGGCAGTACCCCGTGTCGGATCTGCGTGCGTCGGGACTTCTGGGCCTCTGGCTCCTTGATTGGTTTGCTACCAACTACCACGACGCCTTTCTCGACCTGGTCAATACCCATCGCCCCCGCGATGACATCCACTACCCTGTCGCCGCCGCCGGCCTCAACATCGCCGCCCTCGTTGCCGACGTGCTTCAGCTTCGCATCGGCATCAGCTATGCCATCCGCACTCCGATCTATGACGAGCTCGCCTCGTGGATCTCCTCGCTTGACGACCTCGGCGAGTTCTTCTGCTCGCTCTTTGTCTACTTTGAGGAACGGTGGCATGCCGACGGTGCAGACTACATGGCGTTCAACGCCCAGCTTGCCAAGCTCCGCTCGCGCCTCCTCCAAGTTATCCCGCGCAAGAACCTGTCCGGTGAGGCCCTGGAAGCCACGCCGTTCTCTCGCGTCATCCTTGACGAGCGGCTGTATGACGAGTCGCTCGAGGTGCCGGCCGTCGACGAGGGCTCGTGCACCATACTGTGACTCTCTTGCCACGGGCCGTGCTATGTTTGTTTTCTCAACCAACCAGCCAGAGTAAACGGCTTCTGGCTTCTACGTGCTGGCGGAAGCGCTCGCAGCGCTCAGCTCCGCCAACATGGCGTCCTTGACCTCGGCTTCCATCGACACACCCTTGGCAAACGCAGCTGGCGAGCCAAACGCATCTGTCATCGACAGATCCACGCCAGGCAGCTCCAAGATGTACTTGACCATGTCGGGCGAGCCAGAGATGACGGCCCGCGACACAATCGACATGTTCGCTCCGTTCGGCAGCTCAGTCATGGTCTCAACAGCAATCCCGAGCCCAGCCATGACGACGGCCACGGCCTCAGCGGCCGTCACCTCGCCTGCAGAGACCACTGACGAGAACAGGTCTGCCCGCCCGAGCTGTGCATGTGGAAAGGCGAGGGCGGCGGTGAGCTTAAAGGCGAGGACAAACAGATCCACCGCGTATTCGCTTTCTGCGAGCGCCACAGGCTGCGGCTGGAACTCGGCCGGCGACGACTCGACCGAGGTGAGCAGGGTAGAGAGGAGCTCGTAGTGCTGGGCCACGCAATCGGCAAGCGCGGTCTGCCAATCGGGCAGGACTTGGATCTTGGCAAGGAGTTTTGAAACCGGGATCCGGAGAGCCGCGATCGAGATCCGGAGCTGGATCGCCCACCGCGTGGTAAAGACAGTTGTCGCGAGCGAGCTGCTCTGCTCCTCTGTGTAGAGCGGCGGCGCCACGACGTACTGGGTGAGGACTGAGGCGAGGTTTGCCTGGAACAAGGCAAAGGCCAGCTCGACGAGCGAGACTTTCGCGCCGCCGCAGTCGATGCACGCAGTGTGGATGTCGCCACCGCACTTTGGCCCGAGTTCGAGCATGGTCAGCAAGACGTCGACAGCCTCGCGGTTGCCGGCCTCGGTCACCACGTTGAAGAACGCAAGCACAAGCGGAGTGATGCCAGACTTTGAGACCACGTCGAGCCGGACGCCCATGTCGGCCAGCGCCTTGACGTAGCGGACGTTGCCGCTCACCGCTGCCGCGTGCATGGCGTTGTACCCGTTATCCGTCCGCGCACTGCGGACCGTAGAGTCTTGCGACATGTCCCATGAGCTCGAGATGATGCGCTGGTAGATGGTGAACGGCGACTTCTCGTTCGCCGCTGCCTTGAGCGCAGCCTTTCCGGCCGTCACCGCGTCAGCCAGCGAGAGCTTCGAGAACATGTTCATAGCGTTGGTGAGGCGGACGCCCTTGAACACGTTGAGGTAGAGCTGCACCTGCGCAACGCAGTCGAGGCACTTGCGCGACGACTTGCTCCACTGTGACCGCGAAAACTTCGACTTGTGCTTCACCTCCTTGCACACCGTGCACATCTTGTTCTTGGTCGCAAAATCCTTGGCCTTGGCCTCGGCCTCCGCAGCAGCCTTGGCCTCAGCGGCGGACTGGGCCTCGACCTCGAGTTCGGCCTGCATCTTGGCCGCAGCCTTGGCCTCGGCCTCGGCGGCAGCGGCGGCAGCCTTGGCTTCAGCGGCAGAGGCAGCAGCCTTGGCTTCAGCGGCCTCGGCCTCGGCCTTGGCCCTCGCTTCGGCCTCGGCCTTGGCCCTTGCGTCGGCCTCGGCCGCGGCCCTTGCCTCGGCCTCGGCCTTGGCCTTCATATCCGCAGTGACGGCCTCCTCGGCGGCGGCAGCGGCGGCCTTCGCTCGGGTGACGGCCTTGGCTTCGGCAGCAGCAGCGTCGCGGGCCGCAGCCTTGGCGTCGTTCTCTGTGGCCGCCTTGGCTTCGGCCTCGATGCGAGCAATGCGGGCGGCCTCGGCCTCGGCGGCCAGCCTGACAGCCTTCTCCTGCGCAGCCCGGGCCTGCGCCTCGGCCTCGGCCTCGACGGAAACACGGATGGCAACCAGTTCAGCGTGAACGAGAGGATCAACAGTGCCATCGCTTGCTTCGCCCACCTCGCCCGGCCATGACAGGCTGGCCCAGGCCTCTGACGGGATGACGCGCGAGAAGACAAGCGCGAGGGAGAAGAAAACCCGGATGCCCGAGAGCGCATGGCCTCGCGAGACACTAAAGCCCCAGTTGTTGAGCACATTCATGACATGCGACTTGGTGGGCAGCGTGTCAAGCTGGGGAAACATGGCGTAAACGTCTTCGTCCGAGGCCAGCTTGTCGAGCGAGGCTTGGAGCTCGTCGATGGCGTCAGTGTACGACGGGCACCACGCATGGATGTTCTTGAGCGCTGCAACGAGCGCCTTCCATGAATCCCGGTTCAGCTGGTCGATCTCCTCCGGCGAAGTCGCCTCGCCCAGCAGCGAGAAGGCGTGCATGAGGATGAGCGGGAAGCGGAAGGTGAGCGGGCCGTAGCGGACGGCGCACCGCTCAAAGGCCGCAAACTGGTGGTTGGCGAGGAGGCTGTGCCAGGTCGCATGTGCCCTCGCGAGCTTTGTCAACGTCGCATGCACAAAGGCATCGACCTTGTTGGCTACGCCGCGGCCCGGCCTGGCTCGGCTCGGCTTGAGTGCCCTCGCTTTTGTCGATGCCTTTGCGGCCGAGCCGGACGAGCTTTTCTTGGACGATGAGGCTGCAACGGGTTCGGCAGCGGCGGCACTACTTGCCGGTGCGGCGGTATCGCCATTGTTGGCCGTGCTCCCGCCGTTCTTCAGTTGCTCCAGGCACTCGATGCACGTCGGCTGCTGCTTGTTCTTGCGCTTGTTCAGCTGGCGCTTGTTGAAGTCGCGCTGCGAGAGCCGCCGCTTGCACTCTTTGCACAACAACATGCGGGGGGAGATGTGTATGTGTGTGTGTATGTGTGTGTGTTTGTGTGTGTGTGTGTGTGTGTGTGTGTGTGTTTGTGGTGGTGGTGTGTGTGCTTTATGTGTGCGTGTGCGTGGCTGTGGCAGTGTGTGGTCCAGGAAGGTCGTAGTTTGGGGTCGCAGCGGACGGAACTCGACGAATGTCCCAGTCAGTACTCGTAGCAGCGGTCACGGCTGTGAGGGCATCGGCCGGCGGGGTGCAGAGAGGCACGGAGGCTATTTTATACAGCATACACGCCATACAGACGCGCATCGCATGGCGGCGGCGCCAACGACGACGTCAGTATCATCGACTTTGTCCTGGTTGTAGTCTTGACTGGGGTCTTGGCCGCAGCTCTACGCATCGTAGAAAAAGGTCGAGACGTAGTAGCGGATGACAAAGGCAAAGAGGCAGGAGACGGCCTGGAGGGCCATGAGATGGAGGTTGAGGGTCGATTCGGGGAGCGGGCCGGCGAAGTAGAGGTAGAGGTTGAGCAGGTTGTGGTGGGCCGGGACGGCGTGGAGGAGGCCGGTGTCAGGATCGTAGCGGGCAAGCCTGTGGCGTGGGCACTTGACCTTGAACAGCATGGGCCCGATGAGGATTTGGTAGAGCGAGAGGACAAAGTTGAGGATCTGCGGGAGGAAGAAAAGCATGAGGGTCTTGGAAAAGTGGCCGAGGATGGCGACGACGGCAAAGGACATGCCGGCAAAGTAGGTAAAGGTGTCGCCGACAAAGACCGACGACGGGTACCAGTTGTAGTGGAGGAGAGCAAGGGTGACGCCGACAAATGGGAGCATGAGAGAGAGCGAGAACTGGTGCAAGTCGGGCTCTGACGACGCCGATGGCGCGAGCATCTCCACCAGGTTGTGGACAACGACGGCGAGGGCAATGACAAACGACTGGCCGGCCTCAAGGCCGTTGATGCCAGCGTAGATGTTGATGGCGTTGGTGCAAAAAATGGCGACGCAGCCCATGTATCCGATGTAAAAGAGGCCGAGGTCGAAGAACGGGCCGAGCCACGGGCGGAGCATGTTGGGCACGACCACCGACGTCCCGCCCGAGTACGCCGCCAGCAGCGGTAGCGTCGCCACCGTCGGAAGAACGAGTTTGTACCGCCAACGCAGCTCAAGCACATCGTCGGCAAAGCCGAGGAGGAGCATGAAGCAGATCGAGTGCAGAGCCGCGTTGTACTCACCGAGGTCGATGGCCCGGTCGGTGCCGGCATCCGCAAGCGCGTTGCGGACCGCAGGCTCGCCAAAGCGGAAAACCACGACCGTGGCCAGGTAGATGACACCGCAGACGAGGCCGAGCGACTCGGGCACCTTGGTCCGGCTGCCCCACTGCGTCCGCGGCGTCCCGGCGGCGTCAAACTTGTTGATGTCGATACCAAACAGCCCGTTGTCGCGCAGCGACGGCGCAAGCTTGGGAATAAGCGTCCATGCCAGCGCATACGCCATGGCCGAGGCAGCAAGTGTCGTGCCGAGCATCCGTCGCATCTCAACAGGCATATCCACGTCGCCGGCGGGCGCCATCAGCAGCCACGACGCCACGCCGACAACCACGGAGAGCAGCGCTGCCGTGGCCATCACAAACGACCGCGACGAAGCGTGAGCGGCGGCAAAGTCTGACATCGAAGAAGCGGCGGCGGTGGTGGTAGAGTCGGTGGAGATGATGGTGTTGGTGGAGGAGGAAGAGGTGGAGTCGGTGGAGGAGGTGGAGTCGGTGGAGGAGGTGGTCATGGTGGTGATGGTGGTGGGGGCAGCAGTAGAGGCGGTGCCAGCGAGGTGTTGCTCAACGAGGGCGACGTAGACGGCCTTGCGGGATCTGCTGGGCGGAAGGTCGACCTGGAGTGCGGGGGGTGGAGGGTGAGGGAGGGGGGGGGGCAAGGGGGGGGGGTGGGGGGGGTGGGCAAGGGCAGACTGCTTACCTCATGGGTGGCGAGAAAGGCGCGCAGCTGGGCCACGGTGTTGCCTGCGATGTTGTCGGTGTCGATTGACATGGTTGGAGAGGGAGGGTGACGGGGAGGGGAAGGAGGGGGGGGCGGGGGTGGTGGGTGGGTGAGGATGTGGGTGAGGGTATGAGTGGTGTGGTGTGGTGTGGTGGTGGTGTGGGTGGTTGGGTGAGGTGTGCGCAGGTCCGTGTCAGTGCTTGTGTCATGGTTGGCTCGACTGCCCCTGCCACTGGTGCCACAGCCTCTACCATTCCGCCCATAGGCGAGGGCTTGGGTGCGAGATCTCGGTCACATCAGCTTCATCCCGCCACACCCTCACATAGTTCTGACCTGATTCAAGTCCAGCATGGTCCATCAGTCCTCGCTTCGCCACCGCCCTGTCTTGTGCTGGCCCATTGCGACCGCCATCGATTATGCCACGTTGGCGTATTCGATCGAATTCCGCTGCTCGGCGAGATGCCGGCGGACGGAACGACCGTTAGACGGGCAACAGAGACCTTGGGGGGGGGGGGGCTTGTCGTGGGAGCACATCGCGCAGGTATAACACCGCACTTTGAGACACGACAGCGGTAAGGTAGCAACGGCATGGACGGGTACTACACCGGGACGATCAAGGCCGGGCCTGCGGGGACGACGCGTATTGTGCCGTCGCCGGCGCATGTGCAGGCGGCGCTGGCCGGCGGCGAGACACCGTCGAGGCACGTCCATCACTCGGGCATTATCAAGGCCGGTGCGCCGGGTGCGACCCGGGTCGTGCCGTCGCCGAGCAAGGAAGCAGCTGTGTCAGCAACGCCGCCGCGCGCCTCGCAGCCGTACGCCTCGGGCGTCATCCACGCTCGCTCGCAGGGCTACAACGTCGTCACGCCACTCAAGGACATCCAGTCGGGCGCGGCCCACGGGCCAGCCGAGCCTGCGGCCACACCGCCGCCGCCGGCCCGCCACCCCATCCGCGCCTCAGGCGACGGCGGATCGACGGCGTCGCCGCTGTACGACGGCGAACGCGGTGTGCCTGGCGCCATCCCGCGCCGCTCCGGGGCGATCTCCACCAGAGGAGACAACGGCGAGCCGGGCTCGGACGGCATCGGCGTCCCACGCAAGACAGGCTCGGGCCGCATTGTCGCCACTTGTCAGGGCTACACAAAGGTTGTGGCCTCGTCTGCCCAGCTCGCTGCCGATGCTGCCGCAGGCGGCCTCGCCTCGCCGGCCCGCCCGCGCTACGTCTCGTCGCCCATTCGCTCTGCCGGGCCGGGAGCGACCAACGCAGGCTCCATCCTGGCTGTCCGCTCCACACCAACCTCACAGGGCCCGATCGAGCTCGCCCGCGACCCGCCCAAGGGCTACCTTCCGCACGGTACCATTCGCTACGTCGCCGACAAGCGTTCGCCCGTCGCCCGCTTTGTTCCCCCCGAGCAGTGGGCCAAGGATCACCCGGACTCCGGCCAGTGCGCCGGCGCCCTGCCGCCACGTGCCGGCAAGGTCATCCGCGCTACCTTTCCGGGCTACACCAACATGTCCCAGTGACCTGGCCGGTCGCCTCTCGGATGCTGGCCGATCCAAGCGCAAGCTATCGGAGCATTCCGGTCTGTACGTGTCAGCTGCGGAGTCGACCAGCTTGGGTCGGTCGGTCGAAGCCGGTCGGTCGGTCAAGCGTGGAAGCGCAAGTGGCCGAGTGCGGCGCAGTTGGGCCGACAGAAGTCTCGCAGCAGCAGACAACACACGGCGCCAGCGAGCACGAACCACAAGCAACAAAGACATGAGCGCAGTCACAGAGGGTGCGGTGCAGGGTGCGGGTACGTGGGTGCGGGGCGCCGGGGGGTGTGGGGGGGGGAGGGGAAGAGAGCGTGGCGAGCGGACGACTCATGCAACGTGTCGCGCGCCAAACGCAGCGACGACGACGACGGCGACGGTGACAGGAGAATCGGCAGCAGCGGCGGATGTGGTTGGCGAAGGTACGGAAATCGATCTGGATCTGGGCTTTGGCGAGTGTGCCGGCGAAAGTGCAGGCGAGGTTGACGCCGAGACAGCGCGGTTTGATGCGCTGGTAGGCGAGCTGGAGGACGCCATCATGGATCCGGCGTTTGGTGAGGCGCTGGAGCAGTTCCGCGACGCGCACTGTGAGATGTTTGATGACGGTGAGGAGAACAAGCTCGAATATATGCCGCTCTTCTCCGAGTGGCAGGCCATGGTCGAGGGCATGGTCGCCGAGGCGCTTGCCGCCGCCGGCTCGTCGATGGCCGAGTTCATGTCGATCCTCGCCACCCGCGACGAGAACGAGCTGCAGGGCGAGGTCTTTGAGCTTCTGATGGCCTGCGGCGACTTTGAGGCGTTCAAGGACGAAATGCTGGCCCACAAGGCCGCAGTCACCGGAGCCACCGTCCAGCTCTCGCTCGACATCACCGGCGTGTAGGCTGGGAAGAACTTTACGGCGCAGCAGACGCTTATGTGGCTCGGGCGCGGTGCCGCTGGGACGTGTGTGGTCCATCAGTTGGGGCATCGCGCCGTCATGACGTCGTCTGCAGCGGCGGCACTCGCAGGTGTGAGCCTACTCTGAGGCTGGGCTGGCGCTGGTCTCAACAGTCGGGGCGGGCGGAGCCGCGTCGGCAGGCGTGCACTCGACGCCCGAATCTGTCGGGCCGTCAACGCATCCGCTATCGACGACAAACGGACCAGGGCCGTCAAGAGCGGCCCTGGCCTGGAGCCACGCCTCGACTTCGGCTGGATCGTGGCCCTTGTCCGGGACTGGCTGCGAGATAAAGGCGGTGACGCCGGCGTCGATGACAAAGAAGCGTTCGGGCCAGGCGGCGTAGGCCGACTCGAACGCGTTGCTCATGCAGTCGACGTAGACCGGAAGTTCCAAACCGTAGTCAGCGACGTACTCGGCTGCGCGCGCGGCGCGCTCGGGCAGGCTTTTCGGTTGAGGGTACGGCTCACGGCCGCCGCCGACCGGCATTGGCCACTCATCGGAGGCGTGGGCCTCGACGATGTACAGAAAGACAAAGTCCGCCACGTGGGCGTAGTCTGCGGCAAGGGCGTTGAAGATGGGCACGCCTCTCCGCGACGGCGGTCACGACCGCGAGCCGGCGACGACGACGAGGGCGCGGCCGCGGGCGGTGGCGTCTGCGGCGAGGGCGGTGATGCACGTGCTGCCGGCCGCGGAGGGAGCAGACGACGTGAGCGCGGCAAGCGAAAAGACAGTGGCCGGCGGCGGCGTATCGCGGACGACGAGGCCTCCCTGCTGTGAGCGGTCGAAGCGGATGTAGACGGGGCGGTCGATGTTGTGGTTGAAGCGCATGTCGTAGCGGGCGTTGTTGAGGGCCTTGAGGGCCGAGGGCATGTCGCGATCGGCGATGGCGAGAACATCACGAAGAACGCGAGTCTGAATGCGCAGGGTGACCCGTGCGCGCCAGGCGTCAGTGTCGTGCTGGGCGTACTCTGCGAGGACAGCCGGATCGGTGCGGGCGGCGTTCTCGGCGGCCCAAAGGGCGGCCACCTGCTCTTCCGAGAACACCATGTCCGTCTTTGCGTACGAGTAGTGGTACCCGGACTTACCCGAGGTGGAGTGGTGCATGCCCATGGCCGGGCCGGGTGGCGTGGTGGGGCGAAGGCGAGTATGTCCCGCTTCGGCCTCTACCTCTCGCCGCCGCCGTGCATCGCCTGCCTGTCCCCGCCGCCTTCCTTTCGTGCCACGCCACCAAGAAGATTTCTATGGCGCGGCTACAGGTTTGTGGGAGTGCAAAGGCACATTCAAATGTGTATGTGTATGTGTATGTGCTTTTGTGTGCGTGCGTTTGTGTGTACACAGCCCTTCTATGCCCAGTCGCGCGTCTGATCAGCTGTACTACCAGGATGCCTACCGACGGGGTGCGAGCGTGTTCGCCCGTCGCGACCGCAGTTGCCAACGCGATCGCGATCGCGTGCGACGGACATCATCAGCTGGCAAGCCCCAACAGGTTGCAGAGGTGTTGGAGCCCAGTAGCTCGTCTCTGACCATTGGTCACGCCATGAGCGTGGTAAATGTTATGGACACCATGTTGTACGTGATGGCTTTGAGTGGTTGTGGGGGCATGGACGCGCTGCTCCAGGTCATGAGTTGGGGAGGGGGGAACAGGAAGGGCTGTCAGGAAAAAGGTCGTAAAGGCCTCGGTCACTCACTTGTGCGGACGACAATGTCGAGATCAGAGAGGAGACGAAGGCTGCATTAACAGCTGCAGTGCAGAGGTGGATGAAGGCACGCATTGGGCATGGCTTAGGTGAAGTGACATCGGAAGAGGTGGCTGGTGCTCAACTTAGCAAAGCCCAGTTGGAGGTTGTCGCTGCCGATGTCAAGGTCGAAGTGGTCAAGGCTAAGGTCGGAGTGGCCGAGGCCAAGGTGAGTGTGGCCGAGGCCATGCTGGAGGCCGGCGAGGCCGATTTGGTTGACGTGGCCGAGGCCAAGGTCGAAGTGGCCGAGGCCAAGGCGAGTGTGGCCGAGGCCAAGGTCGGAGTAGCCGAGGCTACAGTCGGAGTGGCCGAGGCCAAGGTGAGTGTGGCCGAGGCCAAGTTGGAGGCCGGCGAGGCTGATCCTGTTGACGTGGCCGAGGCTAAGGCCGGAGTGGCCGAGGCCAAGGTCGGAGTGGTCGGAGCCAAGGTGAGTGTGGCCGAGGCCAAGGTCGGAGTAGCCGAGGCTACGGTCGGAGTGGCCGAGGCCAAGGTGAGTGTGGCCGAGGCCATGCTGGAGGCCGGCGAGGCCGATTTGGTTGACGTGGCCGAGGCCAAGGCCGAAGTGGCCGAGGCTACAGTCGGAGTGGCCGAGGCCAAGGTGAGTGTGGCCGAGGCCAAGTTGGAGGCCGGCGAGGCTGATCCTGTTGACGTGGCCGAGGCTAAGGCCGGAGTGGCCGAGGCCAAGGTCGGAGTGGCCGGAGCCAAGGTGAGTGTGGCCGAGGCCAAGGTGAGTGTGGCCAAGGCCAAGCTGGAGGCTGGCGAGGCTGATCCTGTTGACGTGGCCGAGGCCAAGGTCGGAGTGGCCGAGGCCAAGATTGCTCACGGAAAGAGTCGCGGCGATTCCGAGGAAGACATTGCGTCGCTCTCTGCCTACGCCGACTTTCTGCGCAGCAACATGCGCAAACTCGCCAGTCTGCACACGGGGAATGCCAATGGTGCACCTGCCAGCTCTTCTCGCGATCACATTGGGATTGTCCAACCCAAGGGCCCTGCCTCGCGATCAATGTTTGGTGGTTTCGCCGAGACGGAATCACCTGTCTCGGATCCTGCTGCCCTTCTTCCTCTGGTTGTGTCGGGCCATCTTGAGCTGGTGGTTTGGCCTGGGAACAGCTCTTCCAGCGATGATGGCAGTCTTGCGTTGCAGGACTTGGACTTGGCCCCTGCCCTCGATGCCAAGCTTGCACCTCCACTTTTCCGCAAAGCTTTTACCATGCGGGCCGAGATGGAGACTGTGCGGCATTCCGTGACACACGACCTTTGGACGCTTGTCTTTTCCTCGAGCTCTCGTCCCCTTGTTGGCCTAGACACCGACGCTATGCGGACCTTCCATCTGGAAAAGGCTTTTGTTGCGGAGCTCTATGCCTCGCTCTCGGTCCATGTTCCTACTGCCAACGCAGAGTTGCCTCTGCCGCTTGATGCCATCCGATTGCGGTGCGAGCGCGCTGCAGCCTTTTGCCACGACCACGCCGCTGCTCTTGATGCGGCGGTGGGTAGTGCAGCTGCCATCGCCGAGCACAAGGCACGGCTCGCAGATGCAGAGCTGGAGGCGAGTGTTGCCGCCGCCCAGGCTGGTACCGCATACAGCGAGCGGCTGAAGAACAGGCTCCTCTCCCAGGCTCACGAGTGGCAAGCCCAAGCCGAGCTGCTCTCGTCGCGCGCGGTCAAGCCCAATTCAAATTTGTCAGCACGTGTGCGCGAGGTCAGGAGCACACGGAGTGCCTCGAACGACCCGAGTACTTCTGGTGCCCGGTCAGCTGACGACGCTGCAGGTGTTGCAGAGAGACTCACAAGGCGCATGTGGCACGAGCGTCCGATCCTGCCGAACGCTGTCGCTGACGTGCTGTTTGGCGTCCGGTCCACCGAGATGACCCTTGGCTTCGGCGTGTACGAACCAGGCGTGTCTCACAAGAACGGCCAGGTAGAGGCGTACGCGCACGCTTTGGCTCTGGCTCTGGCTGGCCTCCCGCTCGGCCCATCGGTACTTTCGCTCTCTGGCCAGTTTCCCACCGCAGCCAACATGGCCAGAGGATCGCCGACCCACCCTTCTCTCCAGCTCGCGGCACACCTTGTCCGAAGCGATCACATCCTGACGGTGGATGTGGCGAGCATGACCTGCACCAGCCTCGACGAGTACGTGACGGTCGTGGTCGGCTTTGCCGTGGCCATGTCCGAAGTCACCGCCATCATGGTCCGCCGGCTGCATGAGCCGCTGCGTGCACCGCGCAGTTTCGGCCCCAACGTGGCGGTGGTCGACGGCTACGCCTTCAAGTGGTTCTTGGGATCAACGTCGCGCATGCCCAACGCGCACGCATGGAGGGTCGCGTCACCTGAGCTGTGTGCCTGTGCTCTGGTCGTCAAGACTCCGTTTGACGTCCGCCGCTGCGAGCGCACCATCAACGCGTCGCTTGGTACGACTGCCGTCCTTGTCACCCATTTCAAGACCGACATTGAGGACGAGTCGTCGGACGAGCATCCGGACGCTTCCATGGTCACCTTGTCTCACTTTCAAGACGTCGCACGCCGTCTTGCCGCACTCCATGGCATCGGCATGGTTCACGGCGACATTCGCCGCAACAACATGGTGTTTGACAACGACGGCAACGGCTTTCTCATCGACTTTGACCTTGCGCGGCCGATCCGCGAGCTCTACCCGGCATCACTCCGCCACGTGGCCGACGGTAAGCGCGCGCCCGGGCTTGTCGACCCAGGCCATGGGCGGCGCTTACCCATGGAGACTGTCCACGATGTGTTTTCGCTCGGAGCCGTCATGGACTTGTACCAGGCCGCCGACGCCACCCACCAGACGACTTGGAGTCGTCTGGTGGACGCCATGATGGCCAGTGACTCGGCCGGCAAGCTCTCCGGGAGCCTCCCCACTGCATGGCCGGAGTCATTTGCCCTGCAACGGCGCGGCGTTGTGCCTAGCGGGGCAACCACACGCGGCACCGGATCACCACCAACACCCTCTGATGCCGGAGCATGAAGCTGACCATGCTTGTTGTACCGTAGCAAAGTTCATAAAAGCCCCCCCCCCCCCCCCCCAATTCCGTAACGGAGGCTCCACCACCACGCCGTCACGCACACCACCTCTGCGGCAGCAATGGTCCGCAGACACAGACACAGACACACCGCACACTTCTCTGCACACGCCAGTGCGAAGAGCCAGAACCAACCTCACCAGCAAACCTACCCACTAGCCTTTCCTTCTCGCTATGTTCATCTCTGGAGGTGGGCGCAACAACAACCGGCGGCGCCGGCGTCGGCGGCGGCCCGGGCGCTCGTCGTACTCGTCGTACTCGTACTCGGACTCATACTCGTACGACTCGTACTCGTACTCGTCCGCCGGCCACAACTCGCGCCACCGCCGCCGTAGGCGCCGCCGCCGCTCCGACATCCGTCGCCGCCGCCAGGAGCGCATGCGCCTCTTCGGCTCGCATCAGGGCGGAGTCCACGGCCGCGCCGATGGTCGCATGCGCCCGAACCGCGGCTACAACTCAGGCTATTCGGGGCATGACTCGTACTCATACGACTCGTACTCGTACTCGTCCGCCGGCCACAGCTCGCGCCACCGCCGCCGCATCCGCCGCCGCCGCTCCGACATCCGCCGCCGCCGCGAGCAGCGGTCGCGCATGATCGGCACGATCGGGGCGGCGATCCTCGGAGGTGGCGGCTACAACAACAACCAGGGTCGCGGCCGCTCGGGCTACGGCAGTGGTGGCGGATACGGCGGCGGCGGATACGGCGGTGGCGGCGGGTACGGCAGCGGCCACTCGGGCGGAGCCTACGGATCGGCATACTCGACCGGCGGAGCAGGCCAGCCGCACATGGCTGGGCCGCATCCGTCCGTTTCGGTTGGCGGTGGCCTGGGTGTGGGTGGCGGAGGCCCGAGCTCGGCGTACGGAAGCGGGCAGCCACAAAGCGCGCCGCCGACCTGGGCTTGGTGGGTCGACGACGATGACGAGATGATGGCGTCGCAGAACACGCCTCGCGAGGTACTGGAGGCCATCAAGGGAGCGCTCGAGGCGAGCGGATACCGCCTGCAGCGGGCGTGGGCACTCAACCGCGCGCGCTGGGGAGCCAAGCTCAAGGGGTATCCGTTCCGCAAGTCGTTCCTTGCCAACACGCTGGCTCCCATCCTCACCGCCATCTCACACGCCGGCTACATGGTAGCCAACGGCGCGCACTTTGGGTCGCGAGTCCACTTTTACTTTGCACCGCTTGTTGCCGCCGGTAGCAGCCATGTCTCGCCGGCTTCGCTCCCGCCCATTGTCGTAGCTACCGGCTACAACAACAACCTCAAGATCTCGTCGAACGCCGACCCTAGCATGGTCGACGCGCTCGGCGCCGCCATGGCCGCCGAAGGTTTGCAGGTCAAGGCCAAGTTTGCACCTGAGAAGAATGGCACGTTTGCCACCTCGGTGGTGGCCTCGTTTGAGCGGCGAAACACCGCCCTGCACTCGGTCGTCCGTGTCGCCAATGCCATTGTCCAGATCGGCCTCACGCTCCTCTCTGTGGCCGGCGAGTACATCTTTGTCTTTCGCCACCACACGCCGGGTGTCGACCCACCGCTCTTCAAGTTTGTCGGTGTGGCTGGCTCCAGCGACCGTGCCTACGCCTCGGCCAATGCTCCTCAGGGACTCATCCGCGAGCTCGACTCACAGCTCGGCTCGATGTTTGGCCTGCAGAAGCCGATGGCGGCCGACGCTGCAGGCAACTACGAGTGCAAGATCCGCGGCTTTCCGTTTGTCATGTGGAAGGGCTTTACCCGGACAGCCAAGCTCCTGCTGGAGGCCATTCACCGGTACGTCTCGCAGACAGTCATTGCCGTCGGCGACTCTGACTATTTTGCCGTCCTTGCCCCGCTCGACGGAACCCACGACTCTGGCGTCGGCCGCGGCGGCGGCGTAACCATGGTCAACCTCACCCACGAGCAGTTCCGAGTCCTCCCCGACGACCCGCGGCTCTTCGCCGCCATCCGCACCGCGCTCGGCCAGTTTGGCATTTCGGCCGGGCGGCCGCCGGCGGCTCGCGTCGCTAACGACCCATTTGCCCATCACGCCACCCAGTTTTACGCCAGCAACACCTTCTCGCACAAGTACCAGCTTATCGTCTCGGAGCTGGCCGTCGTCAACACTCTCCGCGCAGAGGGCTTCCGCGTCGAGGCCGTTCACAACACCAAGCACGCTGCCCAGATCCTGCGGTACAACGCGCAGACCCGTCGGGAGGAGCCGGTGACGTCCACAAAGTCGGACGTTGTCATTATGGTCCGCTACGCGCCCGGACAGGCTCACTCGGCCAACGCTGCACAGCTGAGCATGGTGTCGTCCTCGTCGTCGTCCGGTTGCGGCGAGTCGGCCGCACGCCCAGCGCAAGGCACTGGCTCGGCACTCCCGCCCGGCTGGGAGGCCAAGGTCGATCCGGGCTCGGGTAAGATGTACTACGTCAACCATCACACCAAGACAACAACCTGGGACCGCCCGACAACCAGCGCTGGTGGCGCGCCGATCATGGCTGCCTCGTCTCACTCGTCGGCTCATCCCGCGGCATCGACGCCTGTCCCGGCCCTCCCCGACGGGTGGACCTCGGATGTCGACGCCAACACTGGCCGCCGGTACTACATCAACACCCGGACGCACCAAACCCAGTGGCACGCGCCGCCGGCACCGCCGGCGTCGTCGTCGGCCGCGCCGGCAACGCCGGCGCTCCCGCCGGGCTGGGAGGCCAAGATTGATCCGGCGTCGGGCCGCACCTTTTACGTCGACCACAACACCAAGCAATCGCAGTGGACGCCGCCGCCGGGCGTCACGCCGCCGGCTGCAGCTGCCACGCCACCGCCGCCGCGGGCCCATTTCAACCCCTACCAGCAGCCCAACACGCCCGTCGTCTCGCCACTCGTCGGCAACCCCTACGGCGCGCCCGTTGCCGCTCCCGGCGGCCAGCCTGCCGTCTACGGCGCACCTGCAGCCGCCTCGGCCAACCCGTACGCGCTCGACCCATCTGCCGCACAGCAGCCGGCATCGGCAGCATCGGGCTACCAGCCGGCTCGGGCCACACCAACAGCGGCGGCCAACCCGTACGGCAAGCCGGCCGCGTACGGTGCGGCGGCGTCGTCGACCGGCGCAGCGCCGCCGCCGTTCTAGTCTTGCCTACTTGCGGGTCTTCTTGAGCGCCACGGCAGTTGGCAGCAGTGAAAGCACCACAGGATCAACACTCACAGGTGGCGGAGCCGCTGCCGCCGCAGTAGGAGGGGGAGGCACAGCCGCCACAGCCAGCGGCGGAGTGTCCGTCGCGACAAGAGTCTTCTGGCGCTTGGCTTGCGGGGCCGGGTGCATGTGGTGCGGGGCCGGATGCATGCGGTGCGGGGCCGGATGCATGCGGTGTGGGGCCGGATGCATGTGATGCGGGGCCGGGTGCATGTGGTGCGGGGCCGGATGCATGTGCATCGGGCGCGGGGGAGTCGGACAGGGCGGAGCCCGCCGCAGCGGCAGGGTCTCCCACCCCGGGACCGGGCCGGGAGGCAGCGGAATGGAGGCGAGGTCGATGGAGGGAGGCGGCTGGCCATCATTGCTGCTGTCTTCGGCAACAGTGGCCTCCCCGACGGCATCTGCGTCTGCGTCTGCGCCTGCGTCTGTGTCTGCGCCTGCAGGCTTGGGCAGCTCGTGCGGGAGTGGGGTGTAGCCCGGGACGGCGGTGCCAGCGGCGGCGAGGGCGGCAGCAAGGGCCTCAGGCGACTTGTGGGAAGCCTGAATCTTGGAGCGGAGGAAGCCGACATCCGAGGCGACCCGGCGCTTGGCAGAGCCAGCCAGAAAGCCTTGGGTGAGGGCATGCTCGAGGTAGCGCAGGCGGGCGAGGGCGGCGGCTGGGTCGGTGGCCACCAGAGCGTCCTCGGCGGCCTGCTTGGCCTTGACCTTGGCCTTGCGGCGGCGTCGGTTCTCCTCGTCGCGCTGGCGGGCGCGGACCTCGGAGGCGTACCCGCCTGTACCTGCGCCTCGCTTGCCCATGACTGTGCGTGTGTCGAGGGGGTGGGGGTGGGGGTGGGGAGAGAGGGGTTGGGCGCCGGTGTTACTGCAATTTGGGCCGCTGACTCGGCGACAGGTCATCGGGAGCCAAGCCCGACAACTTTGTACGGTGTTTCGTCGAGGTGGGTACCGGCCTCAACGCAGGCGGTGATCCAGTCATCGTCGACGAGGTACATGGGCCGGAGCTGACGGAGCTGGTTGCGGATGGCCGGGATGCGGTCGGGTGCCTGGCGGGAGACAACAACGTGGGTGACCGTGTTGTCAAGCGCGGGTGCAACGGTACCGCCGTGGTGGCGGATGACGACGTCGAGGAGGTCGAGCGGAGTGACGGCTAGCCGAGATGCCGGGTCAATTGGCGACGCGTTGATGTCAAGGTAGACGACGGCGGCGCGGAAGGTCGACCAACGTGTGTGGAGGCCGTAGCGGTCCTCAAGGCTGCGCAGCGCGGCCGGCGCGATGCGAGCCTCACTCGGCTCGACAAGCCGCCCGCACTGCTTGGTGATTTGCGCAAAGGCAAGACGAAGCGAGTCGGTGGTAGCGTCGTCGGCGTACGAGTCGCCGTAAATGTCGGAGCGTTTGGCAAAGTGTTCGGCCGTTGTCGGCGTGGTGTGGATCATGTAACGCGGCTCGAGCGGGAGCCGCTTGCCGGCCGCTACGCAGTCGGTGATCCAGGAGTAGTGGATGACATCGAGCGAGGTCGGATGTGCGGTGATGATGTTGCGAACCTTGAGAACAAGACCGCGGGCGACTACAGCAAACATAGAGCCGTCAACGGCCGGGTTCTGCGAGATGCTTGCTCCGTGCTCGACGAGAGCCTTCTCGAGCTCGGCCTTGGTCACACCTGCGTTGCGATCGCCGCCGATGACACACAGCGCAAGTCCGTTGAAGAGCGAGCCGACCTTGGTCACCCCGCCACATTGATACCAGCATAGGCAGCGAGGACGGTGCGCGTGCGACCACGACCGCTTCCTTTGCTCAAGATTGTCTTCTTTTTCTTGCGCTTCCGCGGCGAATGGCGGGTCGAGCTTGCGGCCGCGCGCGAGCCGGGCGCCGATCCGGGTGCCTTCCGCTTTCTCAGAGCGCGATCACCGAGAGGTCGACCGGCGTTGACATGGAACTGCTGCTGCAGTTCTGGGAGTGAGAGGCCCGAGCTCCAGGGCTTGTCGTGGCGAAAGGCTCGACAGCGTGGAAAGCGGATGGTGTAGCCGGCCTTGAACTTTTCGGTCTTGATGATTTGCGGCGTGACGACAACCATGATGAGCGACTTTTCGGGCGGGATCCACACGTCGGGCTTTTCCTTGAAGCCGTCGGCGAGAATGAGGTGCGGCGGCGGCGAGTCGGTCGAGTACGGAATCCAGCGATCACCGAGTGCGGCGTCGAGATTGCGCAGCGTGTCGACCGAGTACCCTGTCCCGACCTTGGTGAACGAGTAAAAGACCGAGGGCTTGCCCCCGGGCACCGCAGGCGGGACAATGACTCCGAGCATGAACTTGGCGATGAGGCCCGAGCGGTGGCCTGTGCCGTAGTAGCCGCCGACAATGAGGACGTCGAGGTCATCGGCAGTCCGGTCGCCGTACTCGGGCTTGATCTTGAGCCAGCCGTGCGAACGGTCGCCAGCCTTCCACACCGAGTTGAGAGACTTGACCATGATGCCTTCTTCCTGGTTGGCCATAGCCTCCTCGAGCGCATCGTAGATATCATCGCCGGACTTGCCAATGGTTTGCGGCGCGATCTCAATGCGCTTGGGATCCGCGACGAGCCCGACGTCGCGCTCGAGAATCTCGATGCGCTGCGAGAGCGGCAGGTTGACGGTCGAGACTCCGTTGAACAGCAACAGGTCAAAGACGACGTAAAAGACAGACTGCTTGTCGCCCGGGTCGGCCTGCAGATTGCCGCTCGGCCCGCGCGAGTGGCGCGACGACCTCATGGCATCGAGCGCAGCGAGCTGCTCCGGGTCGACGCACCCGTTTGCACGATCATTCTCGATTTTCTTCTCGAGGTCTCGACGGGCGATGGTCTTGAGATTGCCAAATACCGAGTAGTTTTGCTTGGTCTCGTTCCACACCACGAGCTCGCCGTCGAGAATGAGCGTGTGAACCGACGACGGGATGGCTTTCTCGAGCAGCGGCTGAACCGATGCCAAGTACTCGCGGGTGTAGTCTTTGCCCGACCGCGAGAAGAGCGCAATGCGGTCTTTTGAGTAGTGAACCTGCAGCCGCTCGCCGTCGTACTTGGTCTCGATCACCCAGGGCGCCGAGCCCATCTCCTCGAGCGCCTTTTCAACGGTGTTGCACCGGACAGCAAGCATGGGCTTGATCGGTTTGAAGAGCGTGATTGCCGCTGCGCTGCTTGCCACGGGGCGGACGTTGCGGTCGGCAAACTCGAGCGCGACTTGCTTGAGCGACGAGCAAACGTTGTAAGCCTCGAGCGCGTCGGGGTGAAAGTACTTGAGGACGGTAGTCTCGGAGACATGCATCTTCATGTCTTTGAGAATGATGCGGATGATCCACTTTTGCTCGACTGCTGTCGTTTGCCGTTGTAGGCTGCGCAGAATCTCCAGGCGCGCCGAGCGCTCGACGGCGCGGGCGAGGGCGTCGAGGGCATCGTTGACCTGCTTGATCGAGAGCGTAGGTTTGTCATGGCACCGTGAGCGAAGGACTCGCTCGGCAACCTCGGCAAAGTCGCCTGCGTCCGCGCCAGCACCAAGCCCGGTTGGGATCCGCCAGTGGATGAGCGACTGCGCCGCCGCCGACGAGGCGTCGACGCCGAGCAGCTCGACATAGAGCTTGCCGAGGTTCGCCTCCTTCATACCGTACGTCGCCCGCTCTTTGTCCATCTGCGGCAGCATCAATCGCAGAATGTCAAAGTACCGCGTGTCGCCCCACCGTTCGAAGAGCGCCTGCAGCTGCTGCCGCTTCGCTTTGGTCTTGCGCGTCTGCGAGAGCTTGTGGAACACGAGGCATGCGTTGCAGAAGAGGACCTTGCTGGCGAACGTCTCGCCGTCGTCTCCTCCGCTCGCGCCCACCGCCACAGACGACGTGGTAGTGGGGAGGATGCTCGCCATGTAGACGGCTCGCTGGCGTGAGGTATAGCTCCTGTCGGGCTTTGAGCGCGGCAATGAGGTCTTGCGGCCGGCAGCCGCCAAGTTAGCGGCTCGGACAGGGATGTGTTTCGATCGATGGTACGCGATATACCGAGGCTAGAGCAGATTAGAAAACACGTTCCGAGAGCGTACAACACGAGCTACATATAGCAGGCAGTTTTGTAGGTACAGGGGCATGAATGAGGCTGTGTGTGGAGGAGGCCAGGCAAGAGTACAGTAAAAGCTAAAACTTTAATGTGTTGGGATTTTTATATGAAAATATAGATAACAAACAATAATATACAATGTTCTTGTACAATAGTAAAAATATATATATAATAATCGTACGAAATATATATGTTTATACAAAGAATCACATTGCCCGCACTATCGCGAAAATATTTATACCACACAAAAAAATTGACATTCGTCACGGCAAAGGACCCGCCTTTGCTGTCAACCGACAAGGCCGCTGACTTGCGCCGTTGGCAATGGTGGACATTGGTGGAAACTTCCACCGGCCACACCTCTTACATGGCCACCCAGAGCGCTCCCTACAGCGGCCCAGTGGTCGACGGCCTCGCGCAGCTGCGGCAGAAGCTTGCTGGACCGCGACCGCCCAAGAACGTGCTGGTCTTCGACCTCGCAACAGAGCCGCAGTCGCCCGAGGTGGCGGCGGCGGTCATCGCCTGGCTGCTGGCGGCAAAGTCCGGACGCGAGCTGGGCGTGGTGCTGATGCGCGGACAGCCTGCGGCGATGCAGGTGCAGTGCCCGTGCTGCCCGGCGGCTCTGCGCCTGAATCCGAGCCAGCGCACGGCACGCGGGCACGCCGTGGCTTACGTCGGCGTCGGTGGGGTGCCGCTCGACGCACCGCCGGGCAGCGCCGCAGCGGCAAGCCTCGCCATGTGCGCCCTTGTTGCATCGACGGTCTTTGCCGATGCGGGCTCGCCGGGCATCGGGCTCTTCTCGCCGGCCCCGGAGCTTGTGCCGGGCGGTACAGCGGTGACGACGGCGCTGAGCTCGCTCGGGGCGCGGGTGACGGTTGGCGCGGTGCCGCCGGCGACGGCGGCGCGGCGCAGCTCGCAGTCTGCGGCGTATCTGCGGTCGCGGCAGGCCGAGTCCAAGACGCGGGCGACACGGGCGTCGCCGCGGAAGCAGATTCCGCTACCAAGCCGCCTGACGGCTGATGTGGTGGCAGCGGTACTCTCGGCCTCGCTCGACTCGTTTGCGCCCGACGCAGTCGACTGGCTCCGCGACGGCAACGGCGGGTGGCGCGAGCTGACGCAGGTGCTCAGTGAGCTGGTGACTGTAGGCGAGGCGACCGACGCTGCGCCGCCGCCGACCAACGCGTTCAAGGTGGCGATGAACCGGGCCAAGATCTGGCTCTCGAATATGATGGTGCACCAGCGGGCGTCGCTACCCAAGAGCTATGAGGCGCTTTGCAACGCACTCGAGCCGATGATGCGGGTCCAGATCCCGTCGCTCTTTCCGCCCGAGTATCTGGCGCTGCAGATGGTTCACGCTGGTGTCGTTGACTTTTGCGAGCAGTGCGGCTCGCTGGCAAACTCGCCGGGCTCCTCTATGCTACCGCTGGTGCGGTCTTCGGCGCTCACCGCGCTGGGCTCGGGAAATCCCTCGACCGACAATCCTGCCATGTTGCCGCCGTCGGCCCCGTTTGCACGCCTTATTCTTGCTCTCTTTGCCCGGGTCGAGGCCTGGATGGCGCGACAGGCAAGCAAGCGAGTCTCGCTCCCCGTCGTCCTCCGCGGCATCGCCGCCTCCTCGGCCCTCACAGTTGCCGTCCCGCCGCGAGTCATCATCGACAAGCTGCAAGTCCAAGGCATTGTTGCCGGCAAAGGCGGCGCATCGACCGGCAGCTGGTACTTTACCCTCGCCGAGGACACCCATGCCGAGTGCCAGACTATCCACGTGGTGTATGCGCCCGCGTTGTCTGTCCCCCCCGCCCCGACTCCGCTCGACGTTTCCCTCCTTGGGCGATCGTGATTGGCCCCCGTCTGTGCCACGCACAGTGCGGTGCGTATGCGTGTGCGCGGTAGAGAGATTGCGCGCCATGTCACGGACTGTGGAATTGAAGGATCCGAGTGTCGTCGCCTGCGGAGGTGGCATCGCCTTGTGTGTGTGTGTGCCATGGAGCGCATCCTCCCTTCCCCTCCCCTCCTCCCCCCCCCCCCCCCCACCCACCCTCACCCCCCTTACCCCCCCCCCCCCCAACCCACACACAGACTAATGCTGCTTGCTGCCGCCGTGGCCCATGCCAACGAGGCGCGTGCGCTGTGGCTGCCACGGGCGGTGGCCGAGGCCGACGTGTCGGCGGCAGCCGAGCCTGCGGCGGCGGCGGCGCGTGCGCTCGCGCCGCACGTGGCGACGCACACGCCGTGTGTACTGCGCGGCGCAGGCGGAGCCGGATGGGGCGACGGCCTAGCAAAGTGGACGCCCGAGTACCTGGATGCGGCTTTGGGCGATGCGGCACTGACGGTCGACGCCACGCCGACCGGGCGGGCCGACGCGGTGCTTGGCGGCGCAGCCTTTGTCATGCCCGAGGAGCGGACCATGACCTTTGCGGCCTTTCTCGCCGCCCTGCGTGCCACTGAGGCCGAGGGCGGTACCGGAGCCCTTTGCGCCCCGCTCGATCGTTCCACCACCGCCGCCACCCTCGCCACCGGCCGTCCCATCGACGTCGACTTTACCGGCGGCGCCGAGGTGCTGTACCTGCAGAACCAGAACTCTAACTTTACTTCGGAGTTTGCGCCGCTGCACGCAGACGTTGCCGCCGCGCCACCGGTCGGCGCGGCGCTCTTCCCAGGCACTGGCGGCGCGCCCGATGCCGTCAACGTGTGGATGGGTGGCGCCCGGTCGGTGACCTCGCTACACAAGGACCACTACGAGAACCTGTACCTCGTTGTAGCCGGGCGCAAGCACTTCACCCTTCTCCCTCCCACCGACGCCCCGTTCTTGCACCAGGCCGACTACCCGGCGGCCCGCTACGTGTCGACCGGCGTCAATGGCACCTGGCGCCTGGTGCCCGAGCCGGGCGTGCCCTCGACGACCTGGATCGCGCTCGACCCGGACGCGCTCGACCTCACTGCCTTTCCGCGCGCTGCGCACATCGCCCCGCTTCACGTCACTCTCGAAGCCGGTGACGTCCTCTATCTGCCGTCGCTCTGGTTCCACCAGGTTGCCCAGGAGCCGGACCCGACTACTGGCCTCATGATTGCCCTCAACTGGTGGTACGACATGGACTACGCCTCGCACTGGTACACCTCATTCACTCTGCTCGAGGCCTTGGTCGGCGTCCTGGATGCCGAGGCCGAGGCCGAGGCGAAGACAGAGCGTGGAGCGTGTGCAGTTGAGCCTGTGGAATGAATAGTCCCCCGACGGAGCAGGTAGTTTAGTTACAAGCTGTGTTTACCACCATCGTCGATCAGAATCGGGCCTGGCGGGCGGCGGCGCGGTCAGCGCGCGACCGCCACCGGCTTGTGCTCAGCAGCTCAGGCATCTTGTGGTAACGGGCGGAGGAAAAGTTTGCGTTGGCGACCGACTTCTTGGCAAAGGCCGGGCGGGCGTAGGTGATGTAGATGACCGGGCGCTCGTCAGCCGACTCGTTGCCGCGTCCGCGGTGCTTGAGGCGGTAGTCAAAGAGGAGGACCGAGCCGGCCGGCGGCGTGAGGCACATGGGCTGCTCGTCGACCTCGTAGTAGCCAAGCCGGTGCGAGGTGGGAATGAACTCGGTTGGCCCGCGCGCCATGGTCAGGTCGACGAGTGGAATGAAGACGTTGAGGCAGTGGACCGGGCGGTGCCGCTTGGTCGACTCGTGGTCGCCGTCTGAATGGTACGGCTGCGTCGTCGAGCCAGGCATCGAGAGCATGCATCCGGTGTGGATGCACTGTGCATCGTCGCCAAGCAGCTCGCGGACAAGCGGGAGCCACGGCGCCTCGGTGGTGAGCAACGGGAAGATGCTCGGGTCCGTCAGCTCGTCGAGCATGAGGTCAAACCGTCCGGCCGCACGCATCTTGAACGTGGTAAAGCCGGTCGGCAGCATGTCCAGCATGTCGCGCGCCCGCAGCGTCTCCATATTCTCCTCGAACCGAGAGAGGACAAGCCGGTAGAGCTTGTCCACGACATCGCGCCCAAGTCCGGCGCTCGGCGGCAGCATGGCGAGCCCGTACTCGTTGAACTGCGCGGTGCGCCCGGCTGCGTCGTCGATGCCCACAATGGGCGTGAAGACTGGCGCCCGGCACCCGAGGCAGAGCCACTGAGGAATGGCGGGCACCTTGGCCGCCACGTACCCGGCCGACGACGAGTGGTAGCTCATCAGCGAGCCGCCCTTGCCGTCGAGCGAAGTCTCCATCCGCGCCGTCCGTGCCTCGCCCAGGCACTCGAGGTGAAAGTAGTCACCACATCCTGCGCAAGCAAGCCCAACCTTGACCCTCGAGCACTTTGAGCATGCGGCACACGCCACGCTCTCCAGCCGCGCGTCCTTGGCTAGAAGGCCATCAGCAGTCCGCGTGTTGCGGTCCACGACCTCGCTACTCTTTGTCTTGGCGCCCTTGGCGCTCGTGGCGCTCTTGGCGCGCTTGGCACTCTTGGCACTCTTGGCGCTCTTGCTGCCCTTTCCGCGCTTGGCCTTGACCTTCTTGAACGCCGACGCGACAGGCGCCGGCACCAATGCCGGCGAGTTCTCCGACTCAAATGCATTGCTGTCGTCCCACGGATCGTAGTCATCGTCCGACGAGATCTGCATCGCTTTGGTGGCCTTAAACACGGCCTTGAGCGAGCCGTTGCTCCCGGCGATTGCCTCGGCCGAGCTGCCAAGCCGCCGCCCGCGACTCTGCGACTGCGAGGCCGAGGCCGAGGTCGAGGCCTCAGCCTCAGCCTCAGCTCCGGCCGGAACATCAGCCTTGGCCTTGCTCACAGTCCTACCTGCCGCCTTGCCCGTCGCCCTTCTCCGCGCCTGCGCCTGCGCCGGTCGCAGCACACCCTGCGCCTCTGCGACGTCCTGCGCGCACTTGGCCGGGCGCGCCAGCAGCCGCTGCCGCTTGGTCTGAATCCGCACCGTCCTGCCGCCATCACCGCATCCCGCGCGCCGCGTTAGTCTGCGCCCTACCGCCGCCGTCTGCCATCCGCCGCACGCCGCTGCCCGCTGCCCCTGCCGCGTGCCCCCACCTCGCGCCACCGGCCATTTGGTTGTAATTTTGTAGCATCGACGAATGTCCCACAGGCGGCGGCTGGGCGGCAGGGGCATGGGCAAGCACCTCCCGCAGGCACTCGCCCTGCTCTCAGCATGTGCATAGGCTCACCGGCATGCGGGTGCACCAGTGCCCGGTGCGCTCCGTTGCCCCCCCCCCCCCCCCCCCCTCCCCTCCTCCTCCCATCCACCTACCCGTTCTTCAATTCCCGCTTGACCATCGCGCGCTGTCCGTCCCCGCGCGAGTCGACTGTGCCTCGCTGCCCGCCGCCCGCCTTGCCCACCCGATCTGACCCGTTCTCAGCGAGTTGGCGGGCAACTTGGCAAGGCAAGACCCGGGCCGATTTCGCCTCAGATAGCTCAGCTCGCTGGTCCTGGCACTGCGCCCGGCTGGTCCTGGCTGCGGCCTGATGCCGTGTCCGACAGCGACGGTCGCTGGCTTGAGGCTGCATTCCCTACTTTACGGCAGACGGCGCACTCGCGACTGCAGCTGCCGCGGCTGGTTGTGTGGTCTCCGTCACGGAGAGGATGGCCAAAACTGGGCGATGATCCGAGTGGGGCCAGTCGTCGGTCGATGGCCAGACCGTGGACGGCAGATGGGTCGGGAGGAGCTCGGCCGAGATCGGGGCGAGGCTCGGACCGCGGGTCCAGATGTAGTCAACGCCGACATCGGTGCCGGCGTGGGTATGATGCGAAACAAAGTCGAGGCGGGCGAGGTCGGTGCCGGCAGACTCGCCAGAGCCGTGGATGGCGTGGTAGGCCGAGAGGAAGCCGGCGTCAACAATGGTGGAGACGACGGCGTCCTGCGTGGCCTCGCCATTAAAGTCGCCGCACCAGACAACAGGCACCTCTGCGCCAAACGTCTGGTCCAGCCACGCGAGGGAGGCCTTGGCCTGCGCCTCGCGCATTCGCAGATCGCCAGCGTGGTGCGGGTAGGTGAGGTGGACATTGGCGACAACAACCGTGACCAGAGTGGGCAGCGGGAGGGTGACGGCAACAGCGCCGACCACCCGGTTTCCGTGATCCTTGAAGCAGAGTGCGTCGGCGACGTCGATGGCCAGCCGGCCATCAACCAGGATCGCCACGCCGTCTTTCTTCTTCCGCGGCCGCTTCCACGCGTGCGTCACCAGCCCGCGCTCAGCCGCAAAACCCTCCACCATCTCCATCGCCTCGGGCGACTCCAGCCACACCTCCTGCAGACAGACGACCGCGTACGCTGCTTCATCCACTGCGTCCAGCTCCTCGCCGATGTACTCTAGCTGACCCTCCATCCGCGCCCGCCACGCCTGCGCCCGCGCACCGCCGCCCCGCCCGTCGCCACCCCGCCGCCCCATCGATCGCACGGCCCCACCACGCCCCACACAGTACCGTCCCAACAGTGCCCCACAAGCGTGAGTCTCGCTCGCCCTCAACCGCCCGCCATCGCCTGCCCTCCAGCCCCAGCCCCCTGCCCGTCCCACCCGCCGAGCGCCGTCCAAGTCGTCCCCGCTCAACCCACCCACCACACCACACATACAGCCACCCACTCGCCCACACTCTCTTCCTCCCTTCCTCTCTCCTTCCCCCTGTCACCACGCCTGCCATCGCCCAGTGCGCTGCTGCCCTCACCCGCACGCCGTGCCGCGCCCGGCCGCGCACGGACGCCCTCCACCCCTCACGTACCGAGCCCCCAGACTCACGCCCGCCAGGCACAGCCGCTGACGACACCCGCTTGTAGCACGGTGCAAGCATGTTAAAGGTCATTATCACTAGGCTTTCGCCCGCTCCGCCCGGCTGGGCATCCTCCTCGGTAGCGTCGGCCATGCAATCGAGTCGAGAGAGAGCTGTCAGACTGACGGCCCGCAGCCAGCCAGCCAACCGAGTTGGCGCCCCCCCCCCCCCCCCCCTCCTCCCTCCCCAACCCCAACCCCAACCCCCCCACCCCCTCCACTGGACACAAGGTGTTGTTTTCGGCAGTCATTCCCGCTTGCAAAACTCGCTGAACAGCTCCTGGTCAACATCGTAGTCCTCGGCTTCGAGGGCTGTGACATCGACCTCGTCGTAGTCGGGGAAGCACGAGGTGTCGTCTTCCTCGTCGACGGCCGGGACAAAGGGTGGCATCATCTTGCGCTTGAGAGCGGCGTCCCAGTCGACAGTGGAAAAGAACGGATGCTCCTTGATCTCTGCAAAGCCGCGCGGGCCACAGCCAAGGCGATCCTCCTCCTCCTCGGTGCAGAGGCCCTCGACAATGTCGATGGTGTCATCGTCAAACTCGGGTGGAAAGTCGAGGTCAACGTCGAGGATTCGAGTGCAGACTGCGATCTGGCAGTCGTCGTCAAAGGGCGGGACGCCGGCGAGCATCTCGTAGATGAGGACGCCGACGGCCCAAATGTCGACGCCGAACCCGTGGCCCTGCTTCTTAATGATTTCGGGCGCAAGGTAGTCGACGGTGCCGCAGACGGTAAAGGTGGAGTCGTCGAGGTACTTGGCAAAACCAAAGTCGGTGATGCGGATGTGGCCATCGCGGTCGATGAGCACGTTTTCGGGCTTGAGATCGCGGTAGACAATGCCGAGTGAGTGCAGGTACTCGAGGACGAGGACGATTTCGGCGGCAAAGAAGACGGTCATACGCTTGGTGAACTGTCCGAGGTTGCCGAGGTAGGTAAAGAGCTCACCGCCGACGACATAGTCGAGCACCATGTACACATTGCGGAGGTCCTGGAAGCACCACCTCATGTTAACAATAAAGGGTGCGAGATCCGCGCAAGGATCTCGGTCTCAGACTTGACGTGCCGCAGCTGCTTCTGCCGCAGAATGTCTGCCTTGCGGAGACACTTGATGGCGTAGACAGAGCCATTCTTGGAAAAGTTGGCAAGCAGGACGCGCCCAAACGTGCCCGTGCCCACCGTCTTGATGATGTCAAAGTCGGCCAGCTTCATGTCCCTTGCGTCGATGTCGGAAATCTCCACAGACGATGACGCCCGCGAGCCCATCGACCCGCGCAACTTGGACTTGGACTTGGACTTGGATTTCGACTTGGACTTGGACTTGGACTTGGACTTGGACTTTTTCTCTTCCTTGGCCTCAAGCATGACCAGCGTCCCGGGCTTGAGCGCCCCAAAGTCGTCGCGCGTCACTTTGTTCCCGCCCACAACCATCCGGTGTGACAGCGCCTTGCCGTACAGCTCGCGCCACTGCTTCTTGGCCTCGCTCGAGAGCTCATCGTACGAGCCCACCACAACTTCAAACTTCTCATCCGTCCCCTCCATCCCCAGCACAAGCTTCACCGTTGCATCTGCCATGCTAGCAACTGCCTCTCGCCGCGGAATGCGCCGTGCCTACCCTCGTTGGCCGGGCTTTGTTCCGGGGGACAGCCGTAGCACAACTACTACTGCCGCAATCAGTCACCGACCCCTCCCTGCGTGAGTCGCTGCCGTGTCCGCCGCATCTGCCTCCCCCCCCCCCCCCTCCTGCCGCGACATCCTTCACCCGTCCTCCCTCTCTCTCGCCACCAACGTTTTGCGGCTCAACCGTCCGCTGCCAAAGCCGCTGCTGTCTGAGCGACGCCGACAACGACGCTTTCCGCCTTGCTTTCCCCGCATCCTTCCCGCGCATACCATCTGCGCTCCCGGTTCTGCACATGCTCTACACCGCGTGGTCATGTCGCTGCCAGCCCCTGGCATTTGCTCCCCCCACTCGCCACCCCGCCCAGGGGAGCTGCGGGTGACCGATCGATCAAGGGGCACAGGCAAAAAACCGTCCAACCGCAGCCAGCCAAGCACCACCACCAACCAACCGGGAAGGTGCCGGGAAGGGGGGGGGGGGGGGAAGGGGGGAAGCACCGGAGGATCCTCTGTGAACGCTCCTCGTATCACCCTTGGGCTCTATGGTTGCATAGACTTTCCGCTATGCGCACACTCTGCCCGCTGCTAATCCTCGTTCTGGTTACGTACCTCGGCGACGAGTCGTGCCGGCTGCGTTGGGCGAGGTTGTGGTGGCCACTGCGAGCTGGTGGCCAATGCCAATGTCGAGTGGTTGGAAAGAACGGCTCCACCGAACAAAATGCTGCCTTTTCGGCCGCTCCGCTCACGTCATCGTTGGTCATGTCAGACAATAGTCAATTTTGTTCGATTGTGCCTGCAAGGAGGAGAAGATGGGAAGGAGGGCGGGGCGAGGGGCAACACGATGCCTGATGTTCTGCTGCTGCAGTTGGAACTGGCTTGCAGACCACAACCGTGGCTTTGGCGAGAAGAAGGGGATCTTGATCTCAATCTGCAGCCGGGCGGGCGTTGAGCAGCTAGCTGCGTATGCGGGTGGGTGATGGAGCTCAAGGTAGAGAGGCAGAGCCTAGACGAGCGCGTCTCTTCTCTGTGGCGCGTTGCGCGCCACCGGTGCCCGTTCCAGCCATTCATTCATCGCGGTACCGATCGTGTGTGGCTGTGTGCCGATGGGATGTGTGCCGACCATCGGTGGTTGGCTTGGTTGTGTGACGTTCCGACGGCTGATGCATCTGGTCCTTTGTGTGCTCGCGAGTTTTGCCTCTGTCGCGTCTGTTTTCATACTCTTTCCTCCGTTTCTCGCACACCGCTCTCACCCCACACACCCCACCATGGCGGACATCCAGTTCAAGCGCATTCTTGTTACCGGTGGCGCCGGCTTCCTTGGCTCGCACCTCTGCACCCGCCTTGTCGGCGAGGGGCATGATGTTATCTGTACGCAAGCTGCAGCGCCATGAGCGCGACCAGGGGGTGGGGGGTGGCCGAGGCGTGGATTACTGCCGTCGCCTTTTGCAAGAATATTTTCAACTTATCGTCACCGACTCACCCTCCCTCCCCACCCTCTCTCCCGCCACCGCCCGTTTTGCAACCAATGGCTGCTGCAGGCGTGGACAACCTGTTCACCGGGCAAAAGTCGAACGTGGCCCACCTGATGGACAAGGACAACTTTGAGTTTATCCGTCACGACATCCGCGAGCCGCTCCAGCTCGAGGGTCTCGACCAGATCTACAACCTGGCCTGCCCGGCGGCGCCCGGCCACTATCAGTGGGATCCCATCGGGACCATGAAGACCTGCATCCTTGGCGCCATCAACATGCTTGACCTCGCCAAGTACAACGGCGCCACCATCCTGCAGGCCTCCACCTCGGAGTGCTACGGCGACCCGCTCGTCCACCCGCAGACCGAGGACTATCGCGGCAACGTCTCGTGCACCGGCCCGCGCGCCTGCTACGACGAGGGCAAGCGTGCCGCTGAGACCCTCTTCTTTGACCACAACCGCATGCATGGCACCAAGATCCGCATTGTTCGCATCTTCAACACCTATGGCCCCAACCTCCACCCGTACGTACTCGATTCTTTCCCTCCTCCCCCCCTCCCCCCCCTGGCTGCACCCGCTGCGCTGTTGATGTGATGATTGTTTTACTACAGGTCTGAACCTAATCTCCTGATGATACTTAACTACTTAACGGTTTCTCTCTCTGATCAACGCCTTGCGCGCCTTGCGCTGCCAACCCTTTCTTGGCAACTGGCACCCTTCCCCCCCTCCCTTCCTCCACCTCCTCACTCACGCATGTGCATCCATTTGCAACGAACGATATTTAGGTACGACGGTCGCGTGGTCTCCAACTTTATCCGTCAGGCTCTCGCCGGCGAGGACATCACCATCTACGGCGATGGGCAGCAGACCCGGTCGTTCCAGTATGTGGACGATCTCATCGAGGCCATGATCCGTATGGTGAACAACGAGGACGACTTTACCGGCCCGGTCAACACTGGCAACCCGCACGAGTTTACCATCCGTGAGCTGGCCGACATTGTGATCCGGCTGACCAACTCGGAGTCCAAGATCGTGCACATGCCCGCGCCTGTCGACGACCCGGTCATGCGCCGCCCGGATATCACCCTCGCCAAGGAGAAGCTCGGCGGCTGGGAGCCGACCATTCAGCTCGAGGAGGGCCTTGTCAAGACCATCGAGTACTTTGCCAACCTCGACCTCACCAAGTGGCGCCCGCCGACCAAGAACTATTGATTCTTGCCTCTGCCCCCCCCCCCCCCCCCCTCCCCCTCCTACATACACCGCAATCTCACCTAACCAGTTGCCCAACCACTGATTCAGACCCAGACCTTGGAGCCCACTGTGGAGCATCAAACGCACGACTCTGATTAACCAGAATCCCCATCCCAAGCGAGTTCACCTCCTTGTGGCTCGCCCGAAACAACCACACTCATTTCATCGAACAATTCGTTCGGTCACCCGTCCACCACTCCCGCCCGCCCACCCACACCGCCGACAGGCCACCACACCACGACCGCCGACAGGTCACACAGGCCACCACCCACCTCCCCCACCGCCCACCACCCACCCACCCACCCACCGCAGGCAGCCACATCCCCAGTAGACTGTCCCCTCCCCCACTCCCCCCTCCCCCTCCCCCCTCCCCCTCCCACCCCCGCCGCCATGTTCCCCGGCAACCGCGGGCCGGTCAAGTCGATGCCGGGCCTCACCTGCTACATCTGCGGGCGACAGTTCGGCACGCGCTCGCTCGCCATCCACCAGAAGCAGTGCCTCAAGAAATTCAAGCAGCAGCAGGCCCGTCTGCCCAAGCACCTGCGTCAGAAGATGCCGACGCCGCCGCCGCAGGGTGCAAGCCAGGACGAGGTCAACGACGCCGCCTTCAAGGCCTGGAAGTCCTCCCTCGCCGCATGCCCGCACTGCGCCCGCACCTTTAACCCGGATCGCCTCGAGGTCCACCTGCGCTCGTGCAAGCCCGGCGCAAAAAAGATCGATCTCAACCGCGGTGGCCCACCGTCACGCAAGTCGACCCACGCCTCGGCCCCGCCGTCCGATGAGGCTCGCAGAGCTCAGGCCCGCGCCCGCGCCCGCCTCCGCGGCGAGTCGCGCAGCCCGGCGTCCGCCGCGTCGCACTCGCGATCGCCGCGCCCGCGCCACAGCTCCCGCAACCGCCGCTCGCCAGCCTCGCGCTCGCCGTCCCACGGCTCGGCCTCGTCCGACATCCTCGACGACTATGCTGGCGATGACGCCCCGCTCCCGCCGTCAGCCAGCTACGATTTTGATCCGGACGAGGCCATCGCCCCGCCACCGGAAAATCTCACGCCGTGCCCGCACTGCGGCCGCAAGTTTGCGCCCGACCGCGTCGACAAGCACGCCCGGGTCTGCACCGCCTCGCCGGGCAAGAAACGTAAGGTGTTCAACTCGACCAAGGCCCGGGTTGCAGGCACCGAAGCCGCCAAATACGTCAAGGCCGGTGTTCACAAGAAGGCTTCGCCCAAGCCGGTCAACAACTGGCGGGCAAAGCACGAGTCGTTCATCCGCGCTGTCCGCAACGCCCGCAAGGTCACCGCGTACCAGAAGGCCGGTCGCCTCGACGAGCTCCCGCCGCCCGAGTACGATGCCCACGACGACTATATCCAGTGCCCGCACTGCTCACGCCGCTTCAACGAGACCGTCGCCGCGCGCCACATCCCCCGCTGCGCCACCACAGAGGCGCGCCCCAAGCCGCCGCCCACACACAACCGCTATGCCCGCGGCGGCGAGCGCCACAAGGCCGGCGCGCGCGGCGTCAAGACCGGCGGTGCCGTCGCGCGGGACTCGCCGCCCCGCCAGCGCCGCCGGCCTCGTGCCTCACCGTCCGACCAGCCGCGCCAGCATGCGCGACCCAACCGCTCGCCGCGCCATCCGCCCTCAGACTATGAGCTCGAAGCCTCCGAACCCGACTCCCTCGACGACGACGACGGCCACGGCCGGCAGAGCGGGTACGGCGGTGGACGCCTCGCCTCGACCATGCCTGCCAAGGTCGGTGCTCAGGCAAGATCCCGCGGTCGCCACAGAAACATTCGCCCGCGCGAGCGCGAGCCCTCGCGGCCGTCCACTGCCGCGCGGCCGTCCACCGCCGCTCGCCGCGCAAAGTTCTGCGGCGAGTGCGGCGTCCGCTTCTCGTCCTCCTCGCAAAAGTTCTGCGGCGAGTGCGGCACGCCGCGCGCCGTCCTCGGTGAGTGAGTCGGTGACTGCGTCGTCGACAACTGCTCAAAGCTTGATGAGCTTACCAAGCTCGACGAGCTCGACGAACTGGAGCTCTCGGACGCGCCAGCCAACAGCATGTCGTCTTGCGTCGGCAAGCTCGCACCGCTCATCACGCTGTCGACCTGCAGATTGCCGCGAGATTGACTACAAATCCCGACCACAATGCCTGTGTGCCACAGCACTGCATCACTAATCGTCCCCGCATGAAACAAAGTCCAGTGCACGTGAGCACAACCGACGCGTCCCGCTTGGCCCCATCGCCCCGACTCATCCCATCACCCCGACTCATCCCATCACCCCGACTCATCCCATCACCCCGACTCATCCCATCACCCCGACTCATCCCATCACCCCGACTCATCCCATCACCCCGACTCATCCCATCACCCCGACTCATCCCATCACCCCGACTCATCCCATCACCCCGACTCATCCCATCGCCCCGACTCGCCCCGTCGCCGCGACTCACCTCCTCGCCCCGCCTGGCCTAGCTTCCCCCCCCCCCCCCCCCCCGCCCCCCTTGCGGCACCACGCAACTCCAAGCAACAGCACCTTCAAACAGATGGAATTCGCGGGCATGAGCGGGCGCGGGCTGGTGGTCGGGGTGTGTGGGCTGAACGGGTCGGGCAAGTCGGTCCTCTGCGCGGCGCTGGCGGCGGCTGCCGGTTGCCGGGTCGTCTCTCTCTCGGATGCCATCCGGTCGTCGCTGGCGGGCGACGGCATCGATCCGAGCCGGGCGGCACTGATTGCTCGCGGAAACGAGCTGCGGAACGAAGGCGGGGCGGGCGTGCTTGGTGCAAGGGTCGGCGCCTCCATCGCCGCCAGCGTGGCTGCGGGCGATGCTCCTCGATGGGTCGTCGACTCGTTCCGCCATCCTGATGAGGTCCGCGAGCTGGCTGCTGCTGTGGGCGACGGTCCGACTGGCGTGCCGTTTGTCCTAGTGGCTGTCGATGCCGAGCCAAGCGTCCGCTACCATCGCATGCGGGCCCGCGGGCGCCTTGGCGACTCGATCACCTCCTTCGAGGAGTTTGCTCAGACCGAGGCCCTCGAGCTCGCTCATCCCGACCCCAACGGTCAGCAGCTGGCGGCAGTGCTTGAGCTCGCCGCCGTGCGGATCGACAACAACGGTGAGCTTGATCCGGATGCAGACGCCAATGGCATGGCCTTTCAGCTTGCCGATGCGCTGGCCGCTCAGCCGAGTGCCAAGGCTGCGGCCGACGCGCTGGCCAACGCGCTGCAGGAGACTGACGACAAGGCGACAGGCAAGCCAGCAGTGAGCAACGAGCAGGCGAGGGCAGCTGGTGCGGCGTGCATTGCTTTTACTTGAACTCGAGGTCGCCGCTGTCCTGATCCTCGTATAGGGCGCGAATGCGGGCCTCCTCCTCGTCCGAGACACGCTTGCGCGGGACGGTGGGCGGGAGGTAGCGAGTGCGGACGGTGCCCTCGGCGACGGAAAAGGTGCGCGAGCGGCGGAAGCCCGAGCGTTTGCCGGCAGCGCGGCCGACGCGCGACATGTACGGAGCGCCGAGCTCCGATGTGATAAAGTGGCCGATGGCACAGAGGCGTGAGAGGTCAACGCCGCACTCGACGCCAAGGCCCTGCAGGAGGTAGACGACGTCCTCGGTGGCGACGTTGCCCGAGGCGCCGCGGGCGTACGGGCAGCCGCCGAGGCCGCCGACTGAGGCGTCGACGACCGAGATGCCGTACTGGAGAGCAATGGTGATGTTGGCGAGCGCCTGGCCGTAGGTATCGTGGAAGTGGACGGCGAGCTTGTCGACGGCGTCGGGCATGGCCGAGAGAACGGTGGAGAGGAGGGCGGCGGTGGCGCCGGGCGTGCCGACGCCAATAGTGTCGCCGAGTGAGACCTCGTAGCAGCCCATCTGGAAGAGGCGCTCGGTGACGTAGGCCACCATGGCCGAGTCGATTTCGCCCTCGTACGGGCAGCCGAGGACGCACGAGACGTAGCCGCGGACCTTGATGTCGTGCTCCTGTGCCAGGCCGATGACCTTTTCGCAGCGGGCGAGCGACTGGGCGATGGAGCAGTTGGTGTTCTCCTGGCAGAACGACTCGGAGGCTGCGGTAAAGACGGCAATCTCGCGGGCACCCGCCTCGAGCGCTTGCTTGAAGCCGTACGTGTTGGGGACAAGGACAGGGAAGGCCACATCGGTCATGTCCGGATCGGCCAGGACGGCACGGAGGACCTCGTCCGAACCCTTCATGAGCGGGACCCACTCTGCCGAGACAAACGAACCAGCCTCGATACTGCGCAGGCCGGCGTGAGCCAACTGCTGGATGAGCGAGATCTTGGTATCGACCGTGATCTCTGCGTCTGTCTGCAGTGCCTGGAGACCATCACGCGGAGCGACCTCCACAATGCGGACAAACGAGGGAACACGACCGAGCGACGGCGGGCTCCAGCCCACAGCATCCTCGACGCCTTCAGCTGCGACTGCTGCCGCCGCTGCCACTGCGCCTCCGCCTGATGCCTGCGATGCAGCAGAGGAGAATGCTGCCGGGAATGATGACGGTGACGATGATGATGACGGTGACGATGACGTCGGCGAGCGAGCCGCGTACGGGAGGACGGGCGCAGAGGCGAAGCGGGAGAGCGACATGGCGGCAGCCCGGAGTGACCGAAGAGGGACCACTCGGAGCATGCACTGGGGAGGGGAAAGGGGAGGGTGGGGTGAGGGGGTGAGGGGGTGAGGGGGTGAGGAGGGGTGAAGTGGTTGGTGGTGGTATGTGTATGTGTAGGGGGGGGAGGGGGGGGGGGAGGGGGCAGAGCGGGGGGGGGAGGGGGAGGGCGACATGGCGACACGACATGACGACATGGGGGAGGGCATGACATGAGGGGGGTGGGGGGTGGAGTGAAAAAAAATTGACGAAGGGGGGAAGGAGTTGTTGTTCACTGTTTGAGGCTGGTGACCACGCACCCGAACGATGGTATCGTGAACGGCTACTTGTACGACGGCATGGGAACGTCCGAGGTGGATGCGCCGACGGGAGTAGAGCGGTTACAGTAGACGATGGTGGTAACGATGGCGGCAATGACGAGGAGGATGCCGGCGGCGGCGACGCCGATGATGACGGCCGATGACGGAGTGGCTGATGCTGAGGACTTGCCGATGCCGAGCGCCGGTGGCTCGGAACCGTTGGGGTAAGCGACGATCTCGAATGAGGTCGTGGTCACGTTGGGCGCACGGAAGACCGAGATGAAGAGGTCGCCTGAGCGCGGAGCGGCGGCGGTAAAGGCGTGGCGGGAGAGAGTCATGTTCTCGGATGAGTACTCATGAGCGACCAGGCCACGCGGACGCTCGGGGACGTCGCCAAAGGCGCCGTAGACATAGACTTGGCCCGGCGAGTAGCTGAGGACACGGATGGTGATGGAGGCACCGGCTGCCAGGTTGTGGCGGTAGGCAAGACCGTCGAGGTTATCGGATAGCGAGCCGCGGACCGAAACGTTTTCGACAAGCACGGCCGGGCCGACCGAGCACGACTCAGAGGTGTGCCAGCCAAACTCGCACTGGCAGGTTGACTGGCAGCACTCGGCGCGCGCATCGCATGAAGGCGAGCACTCGTTGGAGCCTGCGCACACGCCCGCGCCGTCGCACACGTCGTTGCCGGTGCACGGCAGGCCGTCGTCGCAGGCGGCACCGGCGGCGGCTGGGTCGTTGTGGCAGATCGTGTCCGACCCGCAGCTGTCGATGGTGCACGAGTTGCCGTCGTCGCACTGCGCATCGGTCTTGCAGCAGAACTCCTGGGTCTGGCACTCGCCAAGCGCCGAACACTCGCCGTTGCATGTCTCAGTCGCGCATGATGTGCCGGCAGCGTCGCGGGTACACGTCGACGAGCAGCAGTCACCATCGCTGGTGTTGCCGTCGTCGCACTCCTCGCTGCCCTCGCGAAAACCGTCGCCACAGACCGGAGTGCACGAGCCGGCGTTGGCGCCGACACACTCGCCGACGGCGTTGCACGAGTCTGGGTCGTCGCACGTGCGGCCTGTTGAGCATGGCGAGGTGATGGGCTTGTACGAGCACGTCGACGAGCAGCACCCGCCCGGTGGATCGCACTGCTCGCCGACCTCGACCACCGAGTTGCCGCACGACGGGCCTGTTGTCGGAGGCGGGCCGGTGTACGCGATCGAGTACTCGCCGAGCGAGGCGTAGTCCGAGTAGCCGGATGCCGTCGGCGAGCCCTTGCCCACGCCCTCCACCGAGAGGTGATACGTGGTGGACGCCGTGCCGACGTGGGTCAGCCGCGCCGAGAGCGAGTCAGACGGCTCCGACACCGCCACCTGCGCGCCTCCCACAAACAGCGCCGCGCGGATGTCGAGGTTTGGCGAGGTGACAGCCGGGTCGATGGCAAAGGTCATGGGCCCGGCCGAGCCAATGGAGATGGAGAACCAGTCGATGTCGCCGCGCTTGGAGATGACGCCAGTGCCTGCCGGCGTTGCCGACGCATCCAGCTCCGTGGCGGTCAGCTGTATGTCGGCGTGGTCGTCGGAGCGGAAGCCAAAGCCGTTGGAGGCCGAGCCGATGATCGACAGGTCGTCCTGACCCTCGTTGGCGCCGGCGTACTCGCCCTGCGACCACTGGACCAGGTCTTGGTAGTAGCCGACGCCCATGATCGGCGCCCATCCGGCGTGGCCGGAGTAGTAAGCATCGGACGAGGTGCCATCGTGCGAGAGTCCCATGTTGTGGCCGATCTCGTGAGAGCCGGCCTCGCCGCAAAACTTGGCGTTGCCGCCGCCGAGCCGGTTGGTGAAGACCCATGCTGGCTGGAAGGTGTTGGTCGGGTACGAGAAGACGCCCACGTAGGCCACGCCGCCGGCGTGGGACGACGAGTCGGTGATGGTAAAGACGCACCGCGTCCGCCTGGTCTCGAGCACGCCGTTGTACACGGACACATCGGTGGTGACCGTGATGTCAAAGGGACGATAGTCTTCGGCAATGAGCTCGTAGATGATGCGGATGCGGTCGCGCTCCGCGGCCGAGAACGTGGTCACGTCACCGTCGATGTCGTACGGCTCTGCGTTCACCGCGCCCCACGATGACGTCGCCGACGTGGTGTGCCCGTCAAAGTCCAGGTAGATGACAAAAGCCGAGTCCGGCTTGGAGTTGTAGATCGGGACAGACGGCGCCCGAACAGAGAGTGCGCTGTCGCGCCCGCCAGGCAGTCGTCCGATCGCCCCGGCTTTGCGCTCGCCGTCGGGCAGCGGGAAAGGGGTGCAGATGTGGTCGTTGAGACTCACCCGCTGGACACTGAGCGGGCGCGCGGTCTGTTGGGTGTAGTCGCCGTCAAAGTGCGCCGCTGCCTCGCTCCCAGACGCCGCCCACCGAAAGGCGTGCCCAGCATCAAGCCGGACAATGTCCCCAAGCACAGCCTCGTGCGAGATGTGGATGGTGAACGAGCCGCGCTCGCCGCGAAGCACGCCGCGAGCTTGCAAACTCCCGTCCTTGCCGCGGACAGCTGCCTCGACCACCCCCACAACCGGAGCCGTTGCCCCGGGTGCCAGCTGCGCCGGCAGCAGCTCGAGCGCAGTGCCGGGCACGATGTCGAGGTCGCTACCCAGCCGTGGGCCAAGAACGGCGTCAAACGTCGACGGTAGCCAGCCTGCAGCAGCCTCTGCCTCTGACATGCGATGGGCAGCAAAGGAGAAGAGCGACGGCGGCGACTCGATGGCGACCGAGTGGAGCATGTTTGTGGCCTTGTCATCAGCTCTGTGATCGATGGCCAACGTGTCAGCGTTATCATCGATGGCCTTGTCGTCGGCGTTGTGATCGATGCCGTGTCCATGCTTATGATCGATGCCGTGTCCATGCTTGTGATCGATGGCGTTGCCACTTTGGTCGATGGCGCCATGAGTACGGGCCGATTGTTCACGATGCCACATTGGAGTCATGTCACCTTCTCCGCTGCCACTTGTATCACGGCTCGCTGCTGCCACCGCCACCGTCATCGCCACCAGGCAGAGCCCCAACTCTATCATGCAGACCTTCATACTTGCGGTTTACACAGGCTGTTCGTTCGGAAGAGATGTCTATCCCACTCCCACCCCCTTCCCCCCCCCCCCCTCCGTGGCCTACCGGCTGTCTCGCCCGACTCCTGCTGCGCTGACTCGGTCGTTGCTTCCGCAAGATAGCCACTCCCGACCAGTAATCGAGAATTTGTTGTTGGATTAATCGTTGCCCATACGTGTCGCGGATGACGTCACAGGTATCTGGCAGGACGTTGTGCCGGGAAAGGGGGCGGGCGGGGGGGGTTGACAATATCGGGGATGTGTGCCATGATTGGCAAGGCGTACGTGCAGGTTGGGTGTGATCGACCACATCTCATGTGGTCGGCATCGTGTCGTGTCGATGAGTGCGGCAGCGGTGCATGGTGGCAGGCTACCAGTCCGAGTAGGGGATCATGTCCTCGTAGCCGATGGCCTCGGGTGAGGCGGCCGAGAAGACGGCGGTGATGGCGTCGGCGAGGGTGCGGTAGTCGGATGGCGTGTTGTAGATCTGTGCAGAGATGCGAACGTAGTACGCGCCGTCGAGGACGACGGTGAAGGCAGTGATGCCGGCGGTCCGATGGAGGTGGGCAGAGAGCGCCCACGCGTGGTGGTTCGACGGCGGGGAAAGGAAGGCCGGCGGCGGCGGCAGGGGGACGATGGCGAGGGCGCCTGCGGCGGGATCGAGCGAGGTAGGCGACGACGTGCCCCACGCGGTGGTCAGCATGTCGACGCCTGCAGCGAGGATGGCCGCCTGGCTCGCGCGCATGGCCTCCAGCCCGCCGCAGACTGTATCGATAAAGGCCAGCGCGGCGGGGAGGACGAGCCACGCGGTGTCGTCACGAGTGCCCTGGTCGTCAAACTCGGGCACAAAGCCGAGGCGGGCGCCGGTGGCGTGCGAGGCGATAGGCGGGCGCATCAGCGCCTTACCGGCGTCCGACGCGGCGTAGACAAAGGCCGCGCCCTTGGGCGCAAACATCCACTTGTGCAGGTTGCCGATGTACACGTCGACGCCGAGCTTCGTCATCTCCCGCAGTGAGAGCGGGAGCTGGCCAGGCACGTGGGCCCCGTCGACCACAATGTGAAAGTCGCCGCCGGAAGCAAGCCTGGCTGCCGCCAGGGCAGGCACAATGTCGGCCACAGGCAGAACCTCGGCAGTTGTCGATACAATGTGGTCGAGAAGAACCATGCGGATGCGCGGCGCGTCCGGCGATGCCAGAATCTCCTGGATGGGCGTCACAAACTCATCAACGCTCGGGGCGAGCGTTGAGACCTTGATCGAAACCAGCTCGGCGCCGCAGCGCTCGGCCTGGCGGGCAAAGGCAGCGTGGCAGCCGCCGTAGATGAGCGGCGAGAACTCGACCACACACTCGTCCGGCTTGAGATCAGGCAGCGAGATGACCGCCGCGTTGGCCGCTGTCGTCGCGTTGACCACAAAGGCCAGCCGATCGGCCTCGCCGTCAAACAGCTCTGCCGCGAGCTGACGTGCCGCCACCCGCGAGGCCCGGCCAGAGGCCAGCTCACCACCTCCAGCATCAGCAAAGGCAGCCCGAGACGTCGATCGATAGTAAGCGTCCGGATGAAGCTCGATGGCCTCGCGTGCAGCACTCTGAGCCGCCAACACCGCCTTGGGCGTAGCGCCAAACGAGCCGTGGTTGAGATGGACATGGTCAGCCGAGAGGAGAAAGTGCTCACGGAGTGCCGACATGATGAGTGAGTCTGTGGTGGTTGTCTTGTAGCTCCTCGAGCCGTTGGCCGAGAGCGCAGTTGAGTCGTGCCTTTTGCTGCTTCCGCTCCGCACTTGCGGTTGAGTCGACTTGCGCCGGGCAGTGAGCAGGGTGCAAGAAGGAGTGAGCAGGGCGCAGGAAGGAGTGAGCACAGCACGCACTCATGGCCGCAAGGAAGGCAGGGCAAGGGAGGGGGGGTATACAATTACGGCTGCTGCATGGCGAGTGATGATGGGTTGGCGCGGATGTAAGCGAGGAGCTTCTTGCGCGTGCCCATGGCGATCCCAAGCTCTTTGAGATCAGACTCGTTGAGGAGGGAGAGCGCAGCGAGATCAACTTCTTCGGCGCGAAGGAGTGGGAGAACGTGGGAGACGCCAAGTGTGTCAAGGATGGCGGCGAGCGATGATGCGGCGGGCTCGGGTGAGCGGGGCGGGGATGAGTCGGACGGGAGCGACATCATGCTCAAGCCCATCGAGAGCTGCGCTGGGATGCTTGAGTTGGAGGAGCTCGGAGCTGGGCTCACACTCACGCCTGTCGCCGAACTCGGGACGGCTGGCAGTTGGACGTTGTCGGGCGAGCGCGCCCGCTTGCGCGACGGCGGCATCGAGCTTATGGTGGCGATTGAAGCGTCCGAGATGGTGGCAGCAACGCCGAGCATCTGGTGGTGGTGCTGCTGAGGCGGGGGGGCTGGTGCTGGAGCCGCCGGTGGTGGTGGGCGCGGCACGGTGGCGGTCGTCAGCTCCAGAGCCTGGGAAAAGGTGAGCGAGGTCGAGGCGACCGACGGCGAGGCCGGCACGTGGTCAATCTTTTGGCGCTTGGCCGGCCGGCTCGAGCCGCCGAGCACGTCGAGCGACGGATCGCCCGAGAGCGAGAGCGAACTCGACGAAGGCAGCGTGCTGAGCGTGCCGAGCGTGAGGCTGGGCGACGGATCAGCGCAAGAGGCCGAGGCAGCCTCGGCGGCGGCAGCGGCGGCAGCAGCATCGGCAGCAGCCTGGGCGGCGTCCCGGAGCGCGCGCTCGACCGCACTGTCTGCGGTGAGGGCGCCAGGACGCTTGCCAGCTGTGTTCTCGACCAGAGGATCAGCGCCTGCAGCAAGGAGAGCCTCGACGACGGCGGCTTGATTGTGCTTGGCCGCCAGATGCAGGGCGGTGTTGCCGGTCGCGTTGCGCGGCGCGGTCGAGGCGCCGGCGTTGAGCAGGGCAGTGGCCGCCACCACGTCGCCGACCACGCACACATACATCAGAACCGTGGCAGACTTGTCATCTGCTGCATCGAGCGGGCCATTGGCGGCAGCAAAGGCGCCGGCGATGGAGGCGACAACCTTGGACTTGACGCCCCAGTGCAGGGCGGTACGGCCGTTGCTGTCGACGAGGTCCAACCCAACGCCGACGCGCTTGCCCATCATGTCAGCCTCGTCAGCTGCAGCTTGAATAATGGCATGGCAGAGGCTAGCGTCGCCGATGCGGGCAGCGGCCATGAGCGCCGTGCGGCCGTGGCGATCGACGACATCGAGTCCGAGCCGTCCGCCGACCAGCCGCAGGCTGTGAGCCGCAGGATCGAGCAGGATCATAGCTGCGTCTGTGGCGCGCCCAGCAACGGCAGCATACAGCGGATTGTGGCCCTTTGCTGTGACGGTAGTGGCGGTGGGCGGCGGCGGCGGCGAGCGGTCTGCGAGCGCCCGTAGGAGCATCTTGACAATGGCCACCTTGTTCTCTGCTGCCGCCAGATGAAGCGCTGTCTCGCCACGCGGATTGACGGCGGTCACATCCGCACCGGCAGCAATGAGGGCAGACACGAGTGTGGTATGGCCCACAAAGACCGCAGAGTGCAGCGCTGTCCACCCGTCCTTGCTTCCATTCACCGCTGCAAGGCCCAACGCCTTGGACTGCACAAGCCGCAGCGCCTCGTCACCACGCTTCTGCGAGATGAGCTCGCACAGCTCCGACCCACTCGACATGCCCCACCGGCCGAGCGAGAAGTGTGTTCTTGGCTGTGGCTGTGGCTGTGGCTGTGGCTGTGGCTGTGGCTGGAACCACGACCTTTCTGCGGACATCATTCCGCCTAGCCCGATCGACTGCGAGTGTGACGGCATGAGGATGCCATCATCATCATAGTGTGTGGCGAGAAGGAAAAGACGGAGCAGGCTAGGATGATGTGGGGAGATATAGGGGGAGGGAGAGAGATAGCGCCTTGGTGTATGTGGGTGGGGGGGGGGGGAGGAGGGAGGGGCAGGCTCATCAGAAAGGGCGGCTTCAGGTTTGCGACCTTTTTTCTGAGATCGGTGAAAGGGGGGTAATTATCCCCTCGGCGGAGAAGGCGACGACATCATCAGCTGAAGCAAGAGTGGGAACGGGATCGATGACTGTATGGGGAGGTAGAGTCTGTTGGTGAAGCATGCGGGTGTTGGGTGTTGCTGTGGCGGAGGCGATGTCTCTGTTGGGGGTGAGGAGAGTGCGGTGATGGCGTGGTGTGTGATCGTGATCGTGGCGATGATCGCGTCTGGCAGTGAGACTCCCTCAGCGCGGCATACCCGTCCCAGCATGGCAAAGGAAGGCGAGAGCGTGGGCGAGGTGGCGGCTGTAGGGATGGGACGGCTACCTGTAGGGACGGGGGTTGTGGTAGCGTGTTCGGGGATGCTGTTTGGTACCTCAGCCAAGGCCTTCCACGCCACCCGGCATCCTGTGGCAGCCGTCCTGGCGCTCGGCGGCCTTGTTGCGGGCCTCACCGCCATCTATTCCTCGATCGACTTTGATGCTGCGCAGGCGCCGACGCCGCGTTGACTATCAGCTACAACCTGTGGCTCTCCGTGGAATCTGGCGTGTGTGAAGCGCTTGCTGTTGCCCTGCGCCACCGAAAGGGCTCTGGCTGGCATTGAGGCCGATCTGTCGCGTGTGGGGCTACACAAGGGATCTAAGCTGGCTTCTGCTCGGCAGTGTTGCGGAGAAGGATCCCGGCTGTGGTTGACAGAGAGCCTGCCATGTCCAGGCTACAGTGTCCAGCGCAGCGCAGTGATAGAGGCCAGATAGCGTCCTGGCTGGCGATGACCCATCCGCACCCTCTTCCTCCCCCCCCCCCACTTGGTCGATCCAATACCGCATGACAATCCTGCGTACCGTAAACCCATCCCTTTGTCCTTCCCTCCCTCCCTGCCTGACCAGGCGGTTGCGCGCGCCGAGCGGTAGCACCGGCATCCCTCCACCGCACCCGCCATACGGCCACCAGTCTCGCCAGGCGGCTCTGGCCAGGCCGAGGCCGAGGCCCACCACGCGACTACCGACAACTCGAGGCAAGTTTGGCCATGTCGGGAGACCGCGAGCTACACGCAGAAGTTGACGCGCTCGTTGCCTCGCACCGCGAGCGCATCCGTGAGCTGCAGGCCTCGTTCTCGGCCATGTCGGCCGAGTCTGCTCAAGCCGGCGAGCGACTGGCGGCGACACACGCTGCGGAGCGATCGTCGTGGGAGGCGGAGCGAAAGGCGCTGCAGGAGGAGCTGGCCATGACGGAGATGCTGCTGGGCAAAGAGAAGGAGGATCGTTTGGCGCTTGAGGCTCAATTGGGTCGTGCGAGCGATAGCGCTGGTGCGGCGGTGAAGGCTGACATGGCCAAGCTCGAGCGCGAGCTGATCGCCACCTCGCGCGCCTTGGACAAGGCGCTCAAGAAGAATGCCATACTGGAGGAAGAGCTGGCAGAGGCTAAGCTTGCTGCAGCAGAAGCAGCTGCCACAGCTGCCGCACCTGGGTCACCATCGCACGCTGAATCGGCTGCCCCGGGCTTGCCATCACCGGATGAGTGGGCCGAGGCGCTCAAGCACATGGCTTTGCTGGAGGAGACCGTCCGCGCCGAGTGCGAGGAGCGAATTGAGCTCAAGGCCCAGATCAAGTTCCTCAAGGCCCAGATCAAACAGCTGCAGCGGTAGCTGCAGAGGGCTCCTCTCGGCATGGATTTTACCATCTGTTCGCGCGCCGCGCGGGTCGCGGCTCCCGAGCTCTGCCACGAGCTCGGCTGCTTGTCGTTCAGCCCGCGATGATGCGCCGTCGGTGCCGCTCGAGGTTGTCACGGACGATGGGTTTGCGCTCAGCGTTAGCTGCCAAAGGCAAGACGGCGAGAGCGCAGAGTGATGGCGCCCACAAGTTCAGCACAGGGCGATCAGACCTTGGCGTACTGCTGGTCGACGTTGTGCTGCTTGATGCCTCTCCGGCGCTGCTGGCGGAAGTACTTTCCGCCATCCTCAGGCGAGAACTCGGCCTTCTCTGTCGACAGCTCCCACAGCCAGTCCGGGTACTCCGAGTCGGGCTTGAGTGGAGGATCAGGCTGACCGGCCACTACATTGAGTCCCTCCATAGTCCGCTCCATCGGATGCGGATCTGTCGTCCACCCATCACCACATCAGTAGCGATCATTGTTCCAGTGAGTTCCGACTCTACCCAAAATTCCATCGATCACAAAAAAAAAGACAGACTCCGTCGTTGTGCCCACCACTCTTGGCTGCTCTGTCTGCACTGCGGGCGGCCGGCTGGCCGAGGACCAGGACGGCGGCGGCTCATCCAACGCGTCGCCTCACCGACAGCGAGACGGGAGAGGTTGGGGGTTGGGCAAGACGTACCGGCATCCCCTGTATGCATGGTAAGCTCCTTCGGAAGGTCAGAGGTGTCACGGACGAGCTGGGTTGCGTGGACAGCTCGCGCGAGCCCTCGCGTCACCTGGCTGCTCACCGCCCGGAGCATGGTTGGAGTCGAGTGGGCGGCGGGTGGCCGGCGGGGAGCGAGCGGTGGGCTGCGGAGCGGACTCGGTTGGGGGGGGGATCCGGGACGGGGAAGGGGGCGATTTGTGGGGGGATGGATGGGATATGGTGTGTAGTGTGTGGTGTATGGGGTGCGGGTGTGGTGTGGTGGGGCGAGCGGGCGGCAGCCGAACTGGGCTGCGGCTAGGTGCGATACACAAACTCCGGACAGACAGCCATGATCCAATCTATGCCTACCAGTCCATGCGACATGCCCTCGCGCACCCCAACGTCTGCCTTGACCACCGAGCCTCGGATCTCGATCTCCACCCGTGCAATCGGCCGCTCATGCTTGGCTCCTGAGCCCAGGGTAAACGTCCGGGTGCCGACAATCTGTGCCCCGAGCGACTCAAACACCTTCCGTGGAATGGCTGTCCTCGACGCCCCCGTGTCCACAAGCATCTTGATCACCAGACCCTCAGTCTCACCGGGCTTCCGGATCGTCGCCGCCACAAACGGCCGCGATCTTTGCCTCAGCTCGATCTGCACCACCTCGTCAAGAGCGACAACCTCGGGCGGAGCCGGCTTGAGAGATCCACCCTCCGTCCCACTCCCACTCGAGCTACTCGATCCCAGCTCGTCGCCACTCGCGCCGGCATCACCACCACTTTGACCCGATTCATCCCGCCCGTCGCATCCTTCCGCTCCGTCGGCGCCGACCGCTCGACCATTGCACGCATCTCCGCCTGCGCTGTCCCCTTCCGGGCTCGTTCTCTCTCCTGCCATGTCGCACGCGCACAAAACTCCGGGTTCGGATATAAGTCACCCACTCCTACACGGTGAGTGTGCGAGAGGTGTGTGGCTGCTGTCGTCGACGTGCTCTTCCCTTGCCTGTGGTTGTGTGCCCTCCGCCTCGACGTCACACAATCGTTTTGCTGCTAAATCCGCGGGAAGAATCCTAATCTTTCTGGGGAAAGCGTACTGCCATCGATGGCCACAATCGCACACCATCTTGAACATATGTCGCACCACATTGCCATCCGCATGTTGTGCATGCAGAGGCGTAGTAAGCTCTTGATTGCTGGCCTCAGCAGCTACTCTACCTCATGCAGTAGCAGAAATCCTTTTTCTCACCCCGCAACCGTCTAAAACCCTCGCTCTCGACAATTTACCCATCATCCGTCCTGAAACCACCATCAACCCCATGCCAACCATATAAACAGCCCTTCTTTCTTGTGTGCCCTCTAACCACCTCTCCAACATCCTTATCCGCACCCTATCGCCCTGCATTGCACCATCCCCCGCCCCCATCTTTTTCTCTCGCCCTTTCCCAGCTTTCCCTCCTCCCAGCCTCCCAATCCTTCCTCCTCCCACCTCCTACCCTTCTTCCCAACCTCAACCATGCCCTTCCTTCTCTCCTTCATCCTTCCCTCTTCCTCTATCCGTCCCCTTCCTCTCTAGCCGTACAGCTCCCCATCACATATCCCCCTTCCACGACCTTTTTCCGTCCTCGGCCCCTAATCCCCCCGAGTCGCAGAAGTCCACCTCCCGCCCCCACCCCACCCCCACCCCCGACACCCCTCCCACTCCACCACTTCACTCCCACTGCCCACCATGTCCAAGGTACGCCCTCCCCCCTCCCATATACCCCTCCTCCCCTCCTCCCCTCCCTTCCCCTTTCACTCACCCACCCCCATCCACAGGAAGCATGTGTGGTGGTGCTGGACGTGTCTGCAGGTATGGCCACGGTCGGCACCAATGGTCACTCGCATCTCTCATCGGCCAAGACTCTCATTGATCTCTTTCTCAAGGCCAAGCTCATGCATCGGAAGAATGATGTGGTGGGCATTGTTGAAGTCGGTCGCACCGGCGGCGGTGGTAGTGGTGGCGGTCATCCGGCTTTGTCGTACTTTAGTGATGTGACTCTGCGCACTGATGTGAGCAAGCCGACAGTCGATCTCCTCCTTGCTGTCCCTCACATATCGGTGGCTCAGTCAAAGGGTGATGCCCTGCATGGTGTTCTGGTGGCGTTGGACTTGATCGACGGGTTTTGTGGCAAGCGCAAGTGGGCAAAGCGCGTCATGCTCATTACAAACGGTCTCTCCTCGCTGGATCCGTCCAACCTGCCTACGCTTGCTATGCGCTTTGAAGAAGTCGGCGCCTCGCTCTCGCTCATTGGCATCGGCTTTGACGAGTTTGACGACGACGAGATGGCCGTACCGGGCTTTGAGGCCCGCCAGGCGGCTCGGACCGACAAGCCGCCGCTGCTGCTCGCCAACGAGGCGCTCTACCGCGACGTGTGCGCCTCTGTCGACGCCACCTTTGTCAATCTCAAGTCAGCACTTGCCCACATGTCGGCGTTCCGGTCCAAGGACACACTTCAGCGCCCGTCGTACACTGGCACGCTCGACGTCGGGCCGGGCATGGCTATCGGCGTGTATGGGTACACCAAGACCATGCGGGTCACACTCCCATCGGCGACCAAGCGGTCGCTGGAAGCCGGCGCTGACTCGCAAGGCAAGGTCGAGATGCAGACCTCGTACCGTCGTAGCGACGACGACTTGACAGAGCTGGAAAAGGACAAAATCTGCAAGGGCTTCCGTCTCGGCCAGTCGATCGTGCCGTTTTCGGCCATCGACGAGAGCGTGCTCAAGTACTGCGCGCCCAAGGCGCTCAAGGTGCTCGGCTTTGCACCAGCCAAGCAAGTCTTCCGCCATCAGTACATGTCCAACATCACGTGTCTGGTGCCGACGCCCAACTCGCCCGAGTCGGCGACGGCGCTCCACTCGCTGATCATGGCGCTGTACGAGACCGACCGCATCATGCTTGTTCGCTTTGTGGCCCGTAACAACTCTGCGCCGCGGCTCGGCTTCTGCTGGCCGTCGGTGGAGGAAGATGGGCTCTGCCTCTACTACTCGCACTTGCCGTTCATGGACGATGTGCGCAACTATGACTTTGCCTCGCTCTCACTCATCCAGGGCAACGTGCCCAACAAGGCGCAGCTCGACGCCGCTGAGGCGCTCATCGACTCGCTCGACCTCATGACCGCGCAAGTGGACGAGGACGGCGAGGCTGTAGAGGCGCTCAAACCGGAGAACACCTACAACCCGGTCATGCAGTACTTTTACCAGGTTGTTCAACATCGAGCGCTGCATCCGGACGACACGGCGCTCCCGCCAGTCGACCCGATCATATCGGCCTACATGCAGCCGGACGCCAATCTCTTTGCCGCTGCTGCACCGGCCATGGCCGCCTTCAAGGAGCTCTTCCCGCTCGTGCCGGCCGAGAAGACCAAGAAGCGACGGGCGCGGTTCTGGGCTGTTGACGGCGATGTCGGCGTCGGTGGAAGCGACGTTGCAGGTCCATCGTCGACTGTTCCCGGCGCCACATCCGGCGCCTCCTCGGCGGCTGCCTCGTCGGCTCTGCTCACCGGCGACGGCACGCTCGCCAAACGCCCGCGTGTCACTGGAGCTGCGGATGTCTCGGTTGACTCGATCCTGGCACAGGCCGTCTCGCAAATCACCTCGGTTAATCCGGTCGCCGACTTTGAGGCCATGTGCGCGCGCCGCGACGAGGATCTTGTCAACACCGCCATTGCCCAGTTGGCAGCCATGATCGAGAGCCTTGTCGACACCTCGTTCCGCGCCGCCTACTACCCCAAGGCCCTCGAGTGCCTCGTCGCTCTCCGGGCTATGAGCATTCTCCAGGAGGAGCCCGGCGCGTTCAACGCGCTGCTGCCCAAGCTCCGCGCCAAGTACGCGACAGGGCGCAAGGCCGAGTGGTGGGCGTCGGTTGTCGACGCACGTGTCACGCTCATCTCCTCCGACGAGTGCGCCGAGGCCACCGTCTCAGCTGCCGACGCTGCCGCCTTTCTCGCTGGCGACAGCGATGAAGTGCCTGCACCAGCGCCCGAGGCGCCTGCCGACGACGGCGACGCGACGACGGCGACGACGAGGACATCTTTGGCATGCTAGAGTAGCCGTGATGCCGCACGGGTTTACACCGACTTGCGGCGCGGCTAGCCGAGGAGGGCCGACTATAAATGGGCTAGCCGAGGAGGGCCGACTATAAATGGATGTCACTCTTCGTCTGACGACCATGACAGCGAGTCGTCAAACGCGGTGGCGTACATGGTGTCCGGCGGAATGGGCTCGGAGCTAGCAGCCGATGCCGCGGCGGCCGACGCCTGCGACGCAGCCGAGACCTCTGATTCCGGAAAGCTGACCTCGAGGCAGACTGCCGACGGATCCAACGGACCAAGCGATTCACCGAGCGCCATGCTCATGGTAAGCGTCTTCTCCTCGTCGAAGCTTCCGCTGCTCGAGCGAGCCTCTGCCGCGTGCGGCCGAGCAATGACAAGCGATCGAAGGTAGGCGTCGAGGTCAGAGCCGATGGCGGTGGTGACGGTCGAGTCGAGGGCAGCAAGGCTCGGCTGTAAGTGGCACGGATCATCTCCGGATGCATCCTCAGCGACAATAAGTGGCTTCTGCGACGGAGCATCGGCATGTGCGGCGGTGTGCGCGGACGAGACGGCGCGCATCCAAGGATGGGCGCGGATCCCTGCCACCGTCAGTCGCTGTGCAGGGTCCTTGACAAACGCCTGGCGTAGGAGATCTTGCAGGAGCGGTGAGAGCGAGTCCGGGATGGGGGTGGGGGCAGTGGCGGTGAGGTAGCAGATGCGGAGGAGGTTCTTGGCGTCGGCAAACGGCGGCTTGCCGGCGACCATCTCGACGATGGTACACGCGAGGGAGTAGACGTCCGACGCGGGCGTCGCGCCCTCACCGGCAATGACCTCGGGTGCGATGTAGCACGGGGTACCGACCATCTGGCGAAGAACGTCCGAGTGCATCGAGGCGTCGAGTGCGGCCGACGAGGCGATGCCAAAGTCGGTGAGCTTGACCACACCTTCCTTGGTCAGCAGGATGTTGGCACCCTTGATGTCGCGATGGAGGACGCCGACGGCGTGAAGAAAGGCGAGGCCCTCGACGACTTGCGCGATAAAAAAGGCGACAAGCGGCTCGGGAAGCGTGCCAAACTCCTTGATCTTGGCCGCCAGCGATCCGCCCTCGACGTAGTCGAGCATGATGTACAGCGCAACATCGTCCTCCCACGTCCCAAAGTATGAGACGATGTTGACGTGATTAAGCTCGCGGAGGAGATCGACTTCTTTCTTGAGCTTGGCGAGCTCCTTTCCTCGCTCGGCATCGCGCTCCGTCCGTCGCCCACCGCCGACGGCAGGCTTGTTGAGAACTTTGACTGCCACCTGGATGCCTGTCCGGATGTTGAGGCCTTGGTAGACCGAGCCAAAGGCACCCGATCCGAGCAGCCTTCCGAGCTTGATGTCCGCGCCGGATCCGCTGGAGCTGTTAGAGCGCCCAGAGCCGCCGCCCGACTGCGGCGAGGACGACAGGTGCGTGCCGAGGAAGCCCGAGCGGAGCCGCTCAGACGGGAACGAGGCATCAGCGCCGTTGGGCACAGCCGACGCGCCGTCATGGCCGTCCTTCTCGCGAAACGAGTCCCACCACGGCTCCGAGGTCATCAAAGCGGGGTTCGCATTGGGCGAGATGGACGGGCCACCTCCACTAGGGGCACTCGCACTCTGGGCAAGGCGTGGATCAAGGACAAGAGCAAGTGGGGACGAGGCGGTTGGCGGCGGGTGGGCGGTCGAGAGCGCCGAGGTTTGGTCGTCGGAGCGAGAGCCAAAACCGAGGTGAACGGCAAAGGCGCGCCGCGGACCGGACATGCCAGAGAGATGACGCGGGGATAGCGGCGATACTGCGGCTGAGATGCGTAGCGGTGCGAGCAACAATAACCACAGTTGGCCAGAGGTGGCGGCGGAGAGCAGGCGGTTCCGTTCTGGCGAGATCGCACTCGCGGCGAGAAGCGGGCACGGCCCGATTTCCCGGGAACTATCACCAGCGGCAGAGCTTGGCGATGGCGAGGACCATGGCGGCGATGACGAGGCCTAAAAGCGAGTAGACGACGGTTCCTGCAGCCTGGATACCAGAGACCATGCGAAGGAGGGAGAAGATGGGGACAGGGGAGTCACAGACCGAGGCATCCGTCCGCGGGGTGGGAATGAGCTCGGCGAGGGACCAGGTGAGGGAGAGGAGGGTCTCTGCCGAGTCAGCGTCGTGGATGGCGACCGAGACAGAGGGCTCGCCTGGGCCGTCGATGGCCAAATCAAGCACGGCGTAGTTGCGGCGGAGGATGGGCACGTGGCCGCCGAGACGATTGGAGGCTGGGAGACCGATGGGGATGAGGCTCTTCTTGAGCCAGAAGGCCGAGCCCCAAGAGTGGGTGAGGCCCGAGGTGGTGATGTCGTGAAAGTGGCCCACAGCCGAGTCGGTGCAGTGATGGACCGGGCCGATGACCTCGGCCATGTGGATGTCGCCCGAGAAGAGAAGGGTGGGCGAGCCTGCGGCGACGAGCAGGTCCAGCAGCCGCTGGCGCTCGCCCGGCACGTGATGCCAGCCTTCGGCGAGCGGCTTCTCCATGGCAAGGATCTGGGTGCCAGAGCCGACTACGGTGAGGACACGGGTGGCATCGGGCCCGAGCACCGCTGCGAGGCCATCGCCAAGGAGCAGCGCCTCGAGCCAGGCCCACTGCTCGTCGCCGAGGTAGTGACCGACAGAAGGATGCGCGTTGTAGCGGACGTCGAGCAGGACGATGAGAACGTAGTCGCCGGCGTTGTTGAGGCGGACAAGAGCTGCGTTGTACACGCCCTGGCGAGCACGACGAGGCGATGTGAGCGGAACGTCAAGAAAGTCGAGAAACGCGTCCTTTGCCTCGTCCCTGTAGGGATGGAAGCGATCGCCATCGTTTGCGCCGTAGTCATGATCATCCCACACACCGATGACAGCACCAGCCGATCGAACAAGGGCTGAATAGTTGGCATTCGCCTTGTAGGCAGAGTACTTGGCAGCGAGAGCCTTGCCGTCTGCCGGCAACCAGAGAAAGGGAAGCGGATTGTGGTCGCCATAAACAGCATCGCCGAGCCAAACAAAGGCATCGGGCGCCATTCGAGCCAAATGAGCCATGGCCACCGCGGGCTCACTGTGCTTTGAGCATGAGCCGAGGGCGAGCCGAGCCGAGCCAGGCACTCTCGATACGATATTCTTGTCCACTACATGCCCATAAACCACCATGCCGAGCATGGCAAGCAGGAGCATCGTCGTTCTCACACAGCTGCCCATCCCCGACATGGCTGCGTCTGAGTCGAGTCAAGTCGTGCCCGCCGCAGAGCCGCCGGCCCACCCGACGGCTGACTCACTTGCCTCATCGCTGGTGTGCGATGCTCATCTCGGACGATGAAGCGATGGTGTGGAGAGACGACAGGGGATGGGCAGAGGTGTCGAACTTGTTTATCGCATCCCTGTGACTGCACTAGCAGAGAGAGGGAGAAATAGTGTAGAATCTCCAGGTCCGGGAATCGATGGGAGAACACGTAGATTCATCGTTATCGGGTGGTAGGAGGGAGAACACGTAGATTCATCGTTATCGGGTGGTAGGAGGGAGAACACGTAGATTTATCGTTATCGGGTGGTGGGAGGGAGAACACGTAGATTCATCGTTATCGGGTGGTGGGAGGGAGAACACGTAGATTCATCGTTATCGGGTGGTGGGAGGGAGAACACGTAGATTCATCGTTATCGGGTGGTAGGAGGGAGAACACGTAGATTCATCGTTATCGGGTGGTGGGAGGGAGAACACGTAGATTCATCGTTATCGGGTGGTGGGAGGGAGAACACGTAGATTCATCGTTATCGGGTGGTGGGAGGGAGAACACGTAGATTCATCGTTATCGGGTGGTAGGAGGGAGAACACGTAGATTCATCGTTATCGGGTGGTGGGAGGGAGAACACGTTGTTCGTCGTTATCGGGTGGTGGGAGGGAGACCGCCTGCTGGGCGTACCGACGACCGACGACCGACGACCGGCGACCGACGGCATCACGTGACTTGAAGCCATGATGACTGTGGCGTCAGTGGGAGCGGTAGGCATCACCATTTTGGCGCTTATGGCCATTGCCTGTGCCGAGGGACACATGTTCCACACACTCTCGTCCTCTACCGTCGTCAATGAGGATCTTCTTGGCGTGTATGGCCCTCATGGCCACCACACTGCTCTCCTCAGCCCTCTCCCGGTCTCGGCCGACGACCTCATCATCCTCGACTCGCTCTCCTCCATTCCCATCGATAACTCGTCCATCATTCTCGACTCGCTCCATTCGCTCTGCTCGACTCGTCGCCATTCTTCTCCGTCTGATCATCATCGCCATGATCGTCATCGTTCATCGCTCGATGTCACCGTTCTCTCGCCCCACGTGGTTGCTGTGATCGGACCTCGCCTCGCGGACTGTGTCGAGCTGGTCAAAGAGAACAATGCCGAGCTTGTGTTGGAGTTGAACTCGGGTGCTGTTGAGGTCGGCATGCGCAAGGTGAGGGATGTGCCGGTTCCGGTCTCTGCGCAGGGCTCGGTCGTGCCGGACTCGGCGCCCGAGTGGATCAAGAGCTTTGCAGCTGGCGCGTCCGAGATCAACCCGAAGGTGGCAGAGGTTGTGGCCGCCATGACCGCAGACGAGCTGATGGCCAACGTTGAAGCGCTCTCGGCCATCTACTCGCGAGTCTCGACTAGCCCGGGCGCGTTGGACGCTGCCGACTTGCTCGAGCTGTGGTACACCCAGGCCGGCTGGACCGTCACCCGCCAGCCGTACAAGGAGGGCTACTCGGACAACGTCATTGCCGAGCTTCCGGGCAAGACCGATCCGGAAGCCATCGTCGTCGCCGTCGCGCATTACGACTCGCGGGCCGACGACTCGACCCGCGCGCCCGGCGCCGACGACAACGGCTCCGGCACCGCTGCCCTGCTCAACATGGCACGCGCGCTCACCAGCCACGCTGCGGGCTATGCTTGCACCATCCGCCTTGTCTCGGTGTCTGGCGAGGAGCAGGGCCTCCTCGGCTCCGAGGCCTACGCCAAGGCCATCAAGGCCCGCGGCGACAATGTTGTCATGGCCGTCAACGCAGACATGCTCGGCTGGGCACCCGAGGGCGACACCCATGTTGTCGGCTTCAAGGACAAGTCGGTCACGCCGTGGGCCGTCTCGCTCGCTCAGACCATCACCACCCTCTACGTCCCTGGCACCACCACCGCCTTCTCCAACTCGTGCTGCTCCGACTACATCTCCTTCTACAACGAGGGCTACCCCGCTGTCGGCTTCTTTGAGTCGGCCGTCACTGCCTCGGCCTACCCCTACTACCACACCTCTAAGGACCTACCGTCCGCTCTTGAGCCCGAGCACTTTGAGGTCACCGCCCGTGGCTTTGCCGCCACCATCGCCCTCTGGGCCGACCCGATCTGAGGTTTTGTCCCACGATAAACCACCGGTACCCTTGTCACGTGCTCTCACCAACCCTCTCTGCCCGGGTCACATGGGCCGCGCCCGCCAGCCAATTTTCTGCGCCACGTTGACCGTGCGCCACAACGTGTACTCCATGATCAATGCTTGCAAAGGAAGCGCAAGCAGCTGTGTGGCGCGAGATGGGTGCGGGCAACTGCTTGCTATTCCGATGCCACGCGGAATACATCCTAGATGCCCTGTCAGCGCGGAGAAGCCTTGTACAAGGCTGTGGGCGGGACTGCGTGTGACTTGCCGGTGGTGTTGCCAATGAAAACATCGTCGCGTGACTTTGTCATGTCCGTTCGCCACAAAAAGCCGGCGATATTGAAGCACAATTGAGCCTCTTCCGTCGTCAATACACTCAAGTACTCCACACCTCAGTGATGGAGCTCAAGGTTTTGGTTCTGCTGGCCTTGCTTGCCACTGCGACGCTCGCATCGCGGTCTGCGATCAACCATGTACGTTGGCAGCAAGACGCGCAAGAGTTGGTAGATGGGGCGGGGAGCGAGCGAGACTCACAGACGACAAGAGGCGCGTTTCGGTGAGCAGGACATTATTTCGGCAGTGAACAACGACCCTGCGTCGACGTGGACGGCCGGTGTCAACTCGTTCTTCGAGGGCAAGACGATCGATGAGGTCAAGGGCCTCCTCGGTGTCTCGGAGTTTACGCCCGAGCCGCTCTCCATGATCGGCCCCGACGCAGCTGCTGCAATGGCGCAGAAGGCTGCGGCGCGCAAGGCCAAGCTCCCGACCTCGTTTGACGCTCGCAAGAAGTGGCCCAAGTGCATGCACCCGGTCCTCAACCAGGCGCAGTGCGGCTCGTGCTGGGCGTTCTCGCTCACCGAGGTCATGACGGTAAGTACCGTGACAAGGCACTTGCCTTTTTTTCCGCGCCCCGCTTCCAACTCCCCCCTCCCCCCCCCCCCCTGCGTAGCGCCACTCACCACGCTCTCATACGACGATTGTTGCGAGGACAGAACCGGATGTGCATCCAGGGCCTCAAGGATGAGGTGCTCTCGCCTCAGGACCTGGTCTCATGCGACTACACCAACTACGGATGCCAGGGTGGGATCCTCAACCGGGCGTGGAGCTTCGTGGAGAAGCAGGGCGTGACGTCGTGGGAGTGCCTCCCGTACACGTCGGGCAACGGGACGACCGGCTCTTGCCCGTCGCACTGCGCTGACGGCTCGCCCATCAAGCGGGTCAAGGCTGTTCATGCGCGTCACATCAACGAGCTCTTTGGGCGCGACGACGCTATCGCGGAGGAGATTGTCAACAACGGCCCGGTCCAGGTTGCGTTCAAGGTGTACGAGGACTTTATGCACTACACCGGCGGCGTGTACCAGCACAAGACTGGTTCGATGCTTGGCGGGCACGCAGTGATGGCTATCGGCTTTGGTGAGGAGAACGGCGTCCCGTACTGGCTCATCCAGAACTCGTGGGGCACGTCGTGGCCGTCGGGTGCCTCGTCGGACCTGCAGGGCATGTTCAAGATCAAGCGTGGCTCGAACGAGTGCGGCATTGAGTCGGACGTGTGGGCCGGTGACGTGGCTGCGTAAGACACAGTAGCGCACCACGTTTAGCACCACCAAGGTCTTGTCGCTGGCATTTTGATCGTAGCCGTTTTCCCCCACATCAAAGCGACGGATCTTGCGGATGGAGCGATGGGAGCGGTGGGAACGGCGGGAGTAGCAGGCCGTGGGCCTTTGTCGAGTCGCAAAACGAGCAGCGGCCGACGAGGTTGGGCTCGTAGGTAACGCCCGCAAACGACTGAGGGCGGAGGCCAAGGAGGAGAAAGGCATAGAAGCGCATGTCCCAGTCGCGGTGGCGCGGCGGAAGATCGAGCCAAGCCTCGGCCTCGACGCGATGGCGCCAGTGCTTGAGGATCAGGTGGACTTCGACGGTATGGTCGAGCGTGAACGACGCGCGCTGGGCCGGCGTGGCGTAGAGAAAGTCGACTGCGGCGTTGGCCGGGCACGGCGCGCCGGGGGCAAAGAACGAGCCACGGCAGGTAAACTTGGAGGTGAAAAAGTCGAAGAACTGAGCCTCGTACTGGGCGGCGATGCCGATAAAGGCCTTCCACGCGCTTGGTGGGAGAAAGCCGTCCGGATTCCGGGCCGTCCTGGGAATGCGCGACTGGAAGCGGCCACGGACAGTCCGCCACTTGTGGTTCTCGCGCTTGCGAACGGCCGGCTCGGCGCGGCGGAGGGCGCGGAGCCGGGCGTCGATGGCGTCGTCGGTCGGCGGCGGAGCGGAGGATGTAGACATGTTGGTGGCAAAGCGAGCAATCTCGGCGAGCTCAAACGGTGAGAGGTCCGGGAAGACCGAAGCAAGCGCCTGCTTGGCGGCTCGTTCGTCGGCACGGTCTTCGCGGGCAAGAGCACCCCACAGCCCGCCCTCGCCTAAAGTGATCACCCGCTTGCCGTTCGATGTGGAGATCTTGGAACGCAGCGGCACAGGCTTCTTGCGCCGTGGAGCTGACTTGTCATCGTTGTCTGCCGTGCGGCGGCGCTTGGCAGCCCCAGTCGTGCCAGTCTCTGTTTGGGCGGGGTGACCAGGGTTAGCCCCAGCCGTAGCCGCAGACACAGCCTCACTAGGATCGGCCTCAGCCCTGCCACGACAGCCTGACGATCAGTCCCGGGTCCAGCCCCAGCCTCAGCCCCAGCCTCAGCTCCTGCCACGACAGCCTGACGATCAGTCCCGGGTCCAGCCCCAGCTGTCCCAGCCCCAGCCTCAGCCCCAGCCTCTGCCACGACAGCCTGACGATCAGTCCCGGGTCCAGCCCCAGCTGTCCCAGCCCCAGCCTCAGCCCCTGCCTCAGCTCCTGCCACGACAGCCTGACGATCAGTCCCGGGTCCAGCCCCAGCTGTCCCAGCCCCAGCCTCAGCCCCTGCCTCAGCTCCTGCCACGACAGCCTGACGATCAGTCCCGAGTCCAGCCCCAGCTGCCCCAGCTCCAGCCTCAGCCCCAGCCTCAGCTCCTGCCACGACAGCCTGACGATCAGTCCCGAGTCCAGCCCCAGCTGCCCCAGCCCCAGCCCCTGCCACGACAGTAGGGCCATCACCAGCCGCCGCTCTCTTCCGCAGAATCTGCTGCATGCGTTCAAAGATGCCATCAGCCATGCCCACCACCACGCCTCCTCTGGGCCTCATCTCCTCAGCCCAGTCGAGGCCAGCTCCCCGCCCCGATCTTCTCCGCGACCGCCTCGGCCTCAGAGACGGTTGCCGACGACCATGATGACGCAAACTTGTCCGCGGCTTATACACACCATCCTCCTCCTCCACTCTCCTCGGTGGCTCGCTAAAGTAGGTGGCTCGCTAAAGTAAGGAGACGCTGCAGTTCGCCTTCGTCTTGTCCGGCCCAAGTGTCGGTCGACGAGCGCAAGTGATTGGCAGCTCTGTAGCCAGCCGAGGCCACGGCGCACGGCGTGGGGCTCTCGGCAGCGGCAGCGGCTCTCGGTAGCAACAGCGGCACACCACTCTACTTAGAAGCTCGACATGTCGTGTGTGGACCTGACGTACTCTTCGTTGTATGGGAGGGCAAGTATGGAGGGTATCCATCTCATGCAGCTTCCAGAAGAGTTGCTAGAGGCTGTGCTGAGGGAGGAGACCAAGTACGTCGCCAATGTCGTGTTTTCCTTTGACGACCTTTTGCTGCCCGCTCTCGCCTGTTTCCTCTCCCCACCCACAGCCATTACATATTTTTACCTCGCCACCCACACCTGCACCTCATATACTACTATGTCCACATCTGTCTCTTGTTTTGTTCTCTCTTTCCGTCACGCTGCTCGTCTGGGAGCCCCTCTCCCCGAAGCCTCCCCATGTTCACGCCCTTTTCCGCCACTCACCCGGTAGAATCCTTACGCAACACACACCATTGGAATGATCAAAGGCTCACCTTTGTGGGCAACGAGTCTGATCATGTCGTTCTGACGACTGAGAGCGAGTCGTACTCTGTCCGCATTGCCGAGACGACCAACTCGATGCTGATCGTGCCCGAGGCCGGGAGCGAGCTCCTCCCCGAAGGCGAGGTGGAGGCGGTTGGCGAAGACGTCGGCAACGATGGCGATGCGCGATTGGCGCGGTACATCACCAACACGCTGTTCGAGTACTACGAACTGACAAGAACAACGCCCAAGACCCGCCGACTGAGGGAGCTGCTCAAGGCTGCGGCGTACGCAGGCGCCGAGCTGGAAGAGGCGACCGCCGGCAGCGGCGGCATCGGCGACGTCGACGCTCTCTTCTCCACCGAACAGCTCCTCGATGCTGTGCAAGCTTCCGAGGCCGAGCTGTTTGTGGCTCTCGCGGAGCTTGGCGCTGTTGAGATGGACGGCAAGTGGCGAACGCTTGCGCCCGAGTACACCGCCACCCTCCTCGACCTGGTTATCACGGTGGCCGACGAGCTGGGCACCGAGCTCACCATCGACCCGCTGGACATCCGAACCGTCCTTGCTGCGGCACCCGAGTACAACCCGGTTGCGCTCGAGCACGTTTGTCTTCTCTTTACCGATGAGCGCGATGACGGGTCGCTAGTGTTGTCGGCGGGCAAGGTGGCGCGATTCAAGGGCGTGGAGCTGCTGCGGCTGGCGACCTCGGACTGGGTCCTCTCCGAGTTTCTCGCGGCATGGCGTAGCACGGTGCCGGTCGACTTTCATGCTGCGGTCGACCTCGCCACGCTGTACGGCACGGCGGTGGTGACCGCCCCGGCGAGGCGGTGTCGATGACAAACGCGCTGAAGCCGGCAGGCAACTCGCGGATCCGGCTGTTTGAAGAGCACACCCTGCCCGAGGCGGCGCTGCCGCGGTTCGATGCTCTCTTTACCGCCCAGCAGCACTGGACTCGTGCCCAGCTCGAGCCGTACCTCCAGCCGATCACGCCCGAGGGGACCAAGCTCGAGTCGATTCTGCTCAAGTTCTCGCGGTCGTCGCTCGCGCCGGGCACCACCACCCGGGTCTACTCCTCGCGATACTAGACGGGGCGCGGCGGGCTTGATGGCGGGACCCGGAGGCGTGGCGCAATGAGCAGCGCGCCTTCGGCGGTGGCGACAACAAACCTGGTCTCGTCGAGAGCAACAGCCTGCGGCTTGCCGGTTCCAGTCGGGAGTGTGAGCGTCCCGAGCACGCCCGAGTACTTGTTGGTGGCCCACGGCGACTCGGAGGCCCGCGAGGCGACGGCGTCGGCAACGTCCCACAGCACCAGCGAGCCGTCGGTGGTGAGGACAGCCGCGGTGACCGCGTCCCACGCCATGTCGGCCACCGGTGCGGTGTGGTGGAGCGTGAGGACTACCAGCTGCGTGTCGACCGTCCAGATCCGGACCGAGCCGTTGGCGTAGACAAGGGCGACCATTTCGGCTGACTCGAGCGCCACGGCCTGGACTGCGCGCGGAAAGCCGTCCTCATGGAGGACTGCCACCAGCCACGGTGCCGTCGGCGTGCTCACGTCCCACAGCTGAGCGCCCGACTCGTCCGAGACCGAGATCACCCGCGAGTGGACGATGGCTACTGACCGCACGTACGAGGTGTGCGACTTGAGCCGACAGAGCGGCGCGCCTGACGACGCAGTGTAAACGTTGACGCCCATGTCGGCCGAACCCGAGGCGATGAGCTCAGCGCCCACCGCAACCGTCAGCACGGCATCGGTCGCGCCATCAAGCCGACGCTTGGTTCGCGAGCGGAGGCCAAAGGCGAGGACCGAGCCGTCAAAGGCGCCCGTGACCACCAGCGGCTCCGGCTGGCCCAGTGCCGCAATCGTCGGCACCGCGTTGTTTCCCGTCCGCTCGTGAGAGGCAAGCTTGCGAACCTTAACCGGCCTCTCCTGCATCGGCGCCCACTGGCCCGGCGCGAGCGCCAGCGTTCGAACCCGCGCGTCGTGTGCAAAGCCAAAGAACACCTTGTCCGCCACCACCGCCAGGGAGAGGAGAACGTGGACGCCATCATGGGACTGCGAGGCTTGGTGCAGCAGCCGGAGCGCGTAGTCGGCCTTGGTCTGTGCTCGTAGAATGGGCGGCGGACTGGGCTCGATTGCCGCGGGAGCCGGCGGCGCGGCTGCGTGAGGAGAGACCGCCGGCTCGGCCGGCGCTGGTTCAGCCGACCGCTGCCTGCGGCGGTGGCGGCGGCGGCGGCCAAACCGCGGCACAGAGCTGGTACTGACGGTGTCTGCTTGCGGCTCTGCGGGCACCTGCGGCGGCGGTGTGACTGTCGGCCTTGGCGGCGCGACATCGGAGCTCGCTGAATCGCCACCGAGCTCCTCCACAGTCTCACGCAGCGCGATCGAGCTCGCCGAGCCTGCCGAGAGCTCCGATTCACAGGCATAGTCAGCTTCGGGCACGGCCGGCGAACCGGGCTCGCTAGCCTCGACCGCTGGCCCGTCGTGGTGCACCTGGCGGTCGGTCGACGGACGCGACGGCTTGGCCGACGGAGGCTGGGCGGCATCGTCCACTCGCGACGTGCCGGCACCTGCGGCATCTCCAGTAGCTGCAGTAGTATCGGCCACAGAGGCTGTCTCCAGCGGACCCGCCAGAGAGCGCAGCGAGGTGGACCGGGCGCGGTGGGCCTTGGCCTTGGCCTTCTCGTCCTTAAAGTTGAGCTCGGACTGAAAGTTGGTGGCAAGGGCCGAGCCGGCGACTGCGGCGGTCTCTACGTCGCGAAAGATGACGCCGACTTGGAGCGCATATGCCTTTGCCTGACGAGCAGCTTGAATGGCCACGATGGCGGCGCGATCGGACTCCGAGTAGGCGGACATGGGCGAGTCTGCCGTGCGGGCGCGAGCGGCGTCTGCATGGACACGGACGTCCTGGGGATGGAGGACGCGATGCACAGCTTTGGGCGCACGCTTACGATACGGCGAGCTTGCGTTACGCTTGCGGACAAAAGATGCCGTATCGCGCATGTGTGGCTTGACCTTGTCGTTGAGAACCGAAGGCGAGCCGATCTGGGCCGCTGCGCGCTCGCGTTCATGCGGCAGAGTCACAGCCTTTGTCCCGACCGAGTACGCAGCAGAAGCTGTAGAATGCGAGGCGGTTGACAGAGACGAGGCCGGCGAGTGTGAGACGAGCGGATCGAGGACAAGGCCTGGAGCTGGAGGAGTAGCTTGCCCAGGACGATGCCATCGAGCGGCTTCTTCGTTTGTCAGACGTTTGTGGGAGAAGGCATCCGACCGAAGAATGGGTGCCATACGAATGAGATGATCAGCCATACGAGTATTTTCACCACTCAGAGTACTTTGAATGGTAGGCGGAGGTGCATGAGGTAGGGTATGGGCTGCATCACCTACTTCATGAGCGTGTTCATGTCGTCGTCGAGGCACAGGTTCAAAGTCGGTAGCGAATGGTGGCCGAGGGTCATGCAAGTCAAAGTAGAGTGACGGGGAGGTCATAACCTTGCTCTACACACACGCACACACACACACGCGCGATTAGCTGTTGTGAGCGAGGTGTGCTCCAGGCGTCTTGTGCTCTGCTTCCCCCGTCGTGCTCTCACTGCCACTCGTGTCAGCCGTCGGTTGGCTCGAGGCGCGACTCGTTCGTGACCGCCTCGGGCCACCAACCGGCGTTCGGCACAATCAATACAGGATCACATTCACTTTATCAATGGCAGCGACATGCCACTCACTTGGTCGAGCACCACTCTCTCTCTCTCGCTCTCTCTCTCGCACCACCTCGCCAGGACCGAAGGCTAGAGTGTGGTCACTTGTGGAGGTGGCAAGTCGTGAGAATGGCTGTGGTCAACAGAGCTGTTGTCGACGGAATTGAGCTCGAGCGGTGGTCGTCGAGCGGAAAGAAGGTCGATGCGAGCAGAGTGACGCAAGCCTTTTGGACGAGTTTACCCTCGCGGAGCGGACATTGATCAGCAAGCCATCAGAGGTGGGCAAGGAGACGCTCAAGTTTGAGTTCAAGTATCTTGACATCTTGTTAGCTGGAGGATTTGAGCGAATGGAAGCGTGGCGGATGCGATTTCCGCACGCGGCATCCAAGGTATCGGCCATGAGACCTGCCCCGTTCTACCTCCACCTCTTCCACACGCCCGACAACTCGATCGGCTTGGCGGTAGAGCTGGTGTCGGTTCGGATTTGGCCCGGACTGGAAGGCAACGCTCCGCTGATTCTAGTCCGGTACTTGAGCATAGCAAGTGAGGATGAGCACGGTGCCAAGGCCGAGGCGATCCAAGACGCAGTGTTGCGGTCTTTCTCGCGGCCGTCGACGACGGTCGCGTCGGCAGAGAACATCCTCGGGTTGGTGCGGCTGCTGCAAGCCAATGGTGCGCTGGTGAGTGAGGAGACGAGAGCAGAGATGATGGATGGTGTAAGCGGCGAGTGGGCACCGTCGTTTGTGGCGCCGGGCGAGGTGAGCGCAGCGAGGTCAGCCCTACCTTCAGAGGCAGCGACCGAGGCCTCGACAAGTAGCGAAGTCAAGACAACAACTGCAGCCGACAGCATCGACAGCGGCAGCAGCGTGACAGACACGGTGTGTGCAGTTGACTTGGGGCGGCCGACGGGCGATGAGCCTCTGGCGTCGTGCTCGGTGTGTGGAAAGAAGCCATCGAACTTGCGGTGTGCACGGTGCAAGGACATAGTCTACTGCACGCGCAAGTGCCAGAAGAGCGATGCCGAGACGCACAAGAAGGTCTGCGCGCCATTCCTCGCGGGGTCAAATATGCTGAATATCAAGCTCGACCCGTCCTTGCCGCTGCCTTTGGGCATCACCAACGTGAAGATGGCGGTCAGGTATCGGCTGAGGGCGCATCGGCGGCAGCCGACGGGGCGTTTATAATAGTAGTCGACGCCTCGGGCTTTCTGCACATTGCAGTCCGCCCGCAAGACTGTACCGATACCAGGAGGCTCGATGCAGCGCTCTCGCTGGTCTCATCGGTCGGTGATGGCGAAACGGCGTACCTTTACGGCTTTGTCCACAACTCGATGCTCACGCTTTGCGTCACCGAGCTCGCGAGTGTGGAAGAATGGTAAAGTATGTGTTTCTTTGGGCGGAGGCCGTGGCCGACGCTGAGGCTAAAGGCTGAGCCTGTGATCGGAGAGCGCGAGCGAGCTATTACTCTCGGCTACCTGCGAGAGCGAGATTTCTTCGCCTCTACTGCGCTGATCTTGAGTGGCGAACATCGTGCCGATTGGCAAGGTGATCCGCATGTACATGAGCACTCATCGTAAGCTTGCGTACACCCAAATCGAGAGCCGCGCGTGTTCGTGCCTCGCATCAGTCGCCTCACAGCAGTCGCGGTACCACTTGTCGCTCGCTCGACGCATGCCTGTCTCGGACTTTTACGAGCGCGGAGCCAAGCACCTGCAAAGAGGGTCGAGTTGGATGGTTCTGGGGATAGCAAAGGTGCTCTGGATGCCTATGTACATGGACTGACTGCCTTGCTCACAGGATTGAAGCGTATGTCGTCGATGCTGTGTGGTGAGTGGCGGGAGTTGGCTCGGCCCGTTGTCAGGCTCGTCGACTGATGGTCGGGCAAGTAGGGCATGATTGAATTATTGCTGCAGTTTGGTTGGCGTGCGGAGAGCAGAGTCGTGTGATGTGGATGTAAGGGACTAACGTCGAGGTGTGGGGTGTGGTGATCTTGGTGTGGGCGGGATGGGGCTGGCGCTGGATGGGATGAGATGGGGGCGGGAATTGTTGGGGGGCGGGCTGTGGTGGTGCGACCGGACGCGGCGGTCGGATCGACAGATGAAAAGAACGCCAGCATCAAGGCTACTGTCCGCGGCAAGGTGACGGAGTTCATGGGCCGAGCAGAGGAGCTGAAAAAGAGTTTGGCAGCTGCGGGTGCGGCGCGGTCGGCAAAGAAGCAAAGCGAGGCAGTGGCTGGCGCGTCGGCGGCCAACGAGTACGTGTCGCGGCTGCGGCAGCAGCTGCGCGATATCGTGATGGTGGAGAAGCCCAACGTGCGGATGTCCGACGTGGCCGGCCTTGCCGATGCCAAGCAGGCGATCGAGGAGGCGGTTATCATGCCGGCAAAGTTCCCGCAGCTGTTCTCAGGCGATACCAAGCGGCGGCCATGGAAGGGGATCCTGCTGTACGGCGCGCCTGGGACAGGCAAATCGTTCCTGGCCAAGGCTGTGGCGTCCGAGGTTGATGCCACGTTCATGTCGGTCTCGTCGGCCGACATCATCTCCAAGTGGCAGGGCGAGTCGGAGAAGCTCATCCGCGAGCTGTTTAAGATGGCGCTCGAGTCCAAGCCGGCCATTGTGTTTATCGACGAGGTTGACTCGCTTGCCGGCAAGCGCAAGGACGACGAGCGGCCGGCGACGCGGCGGGTCAAGAACGAGTTCTTGTCCGCATGCAGGAGCTTCGCGACTCGGAGGGCGTCCTTGTCCTCGCGGCCACCAACCGGCCAATGGATCTCGATCCGGCTGTTCTGCGGCGGTTTGACAAGCGCATCTACATCCCGCTGCCGGACGAGGAAGTCCGACGGGCTATGCTCCGCATTCATATGGGCGACGAGGCCGAGGCCCTGACCGAGGAGCAGTGGCGCGATGTCGTGATGGCGACAGCGGGCTTTTCTGGGTCGGACATTGCCAATCTTGTCCGCGACACGCTCATGGTCCCGGTCCGCCGCGCCGTACGCGCCACCCACTTTAAGCGGGTAGCCAAGGACGATGGCTCGACCGGCCTCGTCGCGTGCGACCCGAGCGAGACCGGAGCCGTCCCCATGTCGTTGTTCGAGATGGAAGATCCGACTGAGCTTGTTGTTCCAGCCATCACCCTCGACGCCTTTGAGCAGGGCCTCTCACACATCCGCCCCTCGGTCGGCGATGTCGAGCTGGACAAGCTTCACGCGTGGACGGCCAAGTACGCGCCGCGGCAGCGGCGGCCGTCGATGGAACACTCTGTCTCGGACGACGACATCGAAGCCGATGGCGATGCCGGCGCCTCAAACTTGTCGCCGAAGAGCAGCAGCAAGGGCAAGCGGACGAAGAAGCGCAAGGTGAAGAAGATCCGTAAGGCCTCATCATCATCGTCCTCCCGCCGTGCGGCATCGGCCATGTAGCCAGTTGTTGGCGATCCCCAAGTACACTCTACCCACCCGCCCACTGTCTAACTAGCTCCCACCGATCAGCCCACCTCCCGCCTCGCCTGCCGCCAACAACCGTCCGCTCGCCAATCGACAGCCCGACCAACCACCCGACCGCGCCCAACTCCAACCACACCACAGATCCTCCTCCGCCGATCCACCCCCACCGATCAGCCCAACTCTTGCTCCTCGCCACTCACATCAACCGCTTGCCATCGTTTGCCGCCCATCGCTCGCCTGCCGCCAACAACCGTCCGCTCGCCAATCGACAGCCCGACCAACCACCCGACCGCGCCCAACTCCAACCACACCACAGATCCTCCTCCGCCGATCCACCCCCACCGATCAGCCCAACTCTTGCTCC